CACTGCGAGTAGGGAACATGTCTAACATGCACCTGATCGAGAAAAAAAAAAAAAAAAAAACATCATCTATTAAACCAACTCGAGAATCTCGCAATAAACACAGTCCGTTTTTTCCCTGCGCTCTCCTCAGGCCTACAGCAGCGCACTCCAGCCGGCTGGTCATGTGTGTTTGTCAAACATATATAGTGTGCTCATAGAATTGTATATAGTTATATGATTCATCTCCTCAACAATGCATCTCCAGTGGAGCTGCATCGTTGCTCTCTTTGTTTCTGAATTCTTGGGAAATCAAAAGGAAACCATCCCCCTTTGCTTGGTTTTGAAAGGGAAGACAGGGCACTAGCCATTTTGGGGGCCGCGGTCTGAAACCCGGCAAGAGTTGAACCGCGTCTCCTGGCCGCTGTCCATGGCCCGAGCTTTCCGTCGCATGGCTACCCCTCCACCCAGCAGCAGCTGGACGTGGTCCAGGCCTGAAGGGAACCCGCTAGGCTGAAGGGTCCGTACTCCATGCGAAGACAGCCCATGATTGTTTTTTGTTTGTTGAATTATGTTGCTTTGCTTTTTGACAAACCGGGATTTTGCTCAAGTGGATCAACTTGCCTGAATGGTGCCAAGGAATAATCCAACTAGCACACAGAAATAAAGCTCGAGTGCCAAACACACCAAACATAACGCAACGCCCTGGGCAGGATGCTCCACTTGGGCCTCAGTGTTCCTCAGCGCCTGTTTGAACAAAACAAGCCACGAGGTTCATTAGATTCCCAATCTAAACCCCTGACCCAAAAGAAAGCTCAAGGTTGAATTTCAATAGCCATGTTCGGGAGGGGATCCCTAGGGATGGAGCCATACAAGGGAGTAGTGGGCAGTATATATATATATATATACATACCCCTCATTTGTGGCTGATGTGCTGATCATGGCGGGGCCAGGAGGTATACGGATACTTGAGAATGGATGGCCATTGCTCTCCTCTTATATTAATCCAGGCTGCGAAACACAAACACAATCATATTGCCAACTGTCACGAACATGATCTTTAAGAAAATAACTGGCTGTGGCTCAGAAAACCGGTGCCAAAACGGAACCCTGGTAAGTGGAAACATGGACCAAAACCTGCGTAACTCCTCCTGCATAATTTTGAGCCACACCCAACTCTCCCTGTCAGCTTGCTTTTCCTTGTGCGATCTCGAAGCCTGCAGTCGTCCCCGAGCAACGCAGGCCTGAAGAATGTGTTCTGTTGAAGTGGGGGAGGGAGGATGGGGAGGGTTTAGGACCATAAGATCCATCCACAAGCCACCATAGCCCCCCACCCCTCCATAGGGCACCCCTTGGGCCCTTCTACGGCACTTTCCATGGGTGGCTGGCCTGAGCTGCCCCTGTCGCGGAGCCAGGAGAAGAACTCCTCGGCGCCCTCCGGGCGAGGAGCTTCCTGGTGCGAGCAGCCGGGCCGAGCGGCTTTTCCCATTCGAACCCGGATGAAAAATCCGAAGGTCAAGGGCTCATATTCCCCGACCGCTCTACCGCAAGGAGAAAGCTGCGTGACAAAATCTGAGGGTTAGGCTGGGCTTGAGCGGCCTGCTTTACACTCGTCTTCTTAGTGTCCTCGGTGCACCCCGGAGCTTGCGAACCAGGAATCTCAGAATGGCAAGTCCAGACAGGTGGCCGAGAAGGGCGTCGGGTTATTTCTTGATGCGTAGTTATGTCGGTACGGCATGTCTCAAGATTGGGATTTGGACCCCAACAATCAATTGTCGCTTCCCTTTCAGCCAACCCTAATCCATGAAGCTTGCGAGGTTTACGGGATCCATTAGTTCAGAAAAAAATATTGTCCAATTCAGATGCATCCCCAGCAGCCATGGGGATTAGACACGGGCACTCTTTTTTTGATGTTGTTTTTTATTGTAGTTTGCAGGCGTTCCGGGGGTTGAATCTAACCCATCCAAACCAACTAAAGGACTAAAGGTTGCCTGATAGGGAACGCCTCTCCAAAACAAAGGCCTGGGTGGGTCTCAAATGCCAACTCTCGTTGCCAAGCGTCGCCGTCGCTGAGGATCTCCCCCTTTGGGCCGCGGAGTACGGAGGGGTCGAAGACGCGCTCCCTCGCCACGAATTGGTTGCCCATGGGGATGGCTTTGAGGGTACCAACTCAACCCACACAAATCAGTCAAAGTCAAAACCGCGCATGTACATAATGAAAGCGGCCGCGCCTATTTCTGGCGATTGCCCTTCGCCACAGTTCATCTACCCTTGCTTCGAGTGCGACTCGTGTGATTCCACCCCCGCCCAATATCAAATAAGCTCAGGTGATATCCCCAACAGCATGCGGTGCTCTTTTTAGTGCTCGCACCACCCCGCAGCCCTCGCAGAACCTCCTGGAACCCTGGTGGAACCCTAACCTTACCTCAGGGCCGCCACTATCTGGGCTGAGACCCCAAAGCTTTCAGCTGTTGGGGAAAAAACGTGTGCTGCCCCTCCTCCATACATTACTACCCTAGGAAATTGTGAGGCAGCTGCCGGTGATTGGGTGAGCGCGGCAAGGTAGTCATTACTTGGGGGGGGTCGGGGATGGCTAAGGAAAAACTTACTGATAGGGAAAATGGGGCTTGTGAGACCAAATGGGCGCTTGCTTTTCTCCCTCAGGCGCAACTTCAACGACCGGAAAACTGCATTGGAGTCAGGCCACTGTTTGTTTCACACTTAGCCTGCAAAACCTGGAGATGTGTGCTGCTTCGTTGGGTTCTGAGCACTCAGCACGACAATAACTTACAAACCATTGAGAGGTTCGAGCCAGACTTTCGAGCCACAGTGTTCGCAGCTTGTCGCCTTGGGTGCGAGATTGCGTTTGGACCACTCAATTTTCTTGTGGGTTCCCATGGTAGTTGATTTAAAAGGCACTCCTGAAAGAAACCCAAAACAAAGCAGAGAATTATCTGGTTTGGACAGGATAGCATGGGTCCCTCACTGGGTTGTCCCAGATCTACGAAACGCCAACCTATGGCCATGGCTTCACAGCCGAAGCTGGTTGAAACCACAAGGCAACAAAACCAGGGCTCCAAAGACCTGATCGGAAAGCAAGAAATCTGACCCCCTGAAAAGGAAGACCGAAGGGTCGGCCACGGAGGTTTCAAGTCGTTTTGAGGTGTGGGTTTTGGATGATAGAAAGCCACTGAAATCAATTTTGGGTTCGTGACATATTTGCCACCCAATTCCTCCAAAACCGGTTGGTGCGCTTTTCTTCTGAGCTTCTTGAGCTGTTGTCTCACTGGGGCTTTCTATTACTCCTTGAAAACCTCCGTGGCCGACAGGGACATGACTTCATCTGATCCCCCCTCCGGACTCCTGCCATCTGACAGCTCAGACAATGCCGAGGATGACTGACCTGGGGCCGATGCAGCTATCAAGCGCCACCCGGCACATTGCGCACCCAACAGCACAGCACCGCGTACACCGAAACAACGAAATGCATCCGATCAAGCAAGCACCGCAGCATGCCAATGAAGCATTCCCACTCACTACGCAGGCAACAAAACACCTATCCCACGAGGCATACATGCTGGTGTCAATTCAGGCCAGCAACACCGCCCCCCCCCCCCAAGACCTCCAATAAAAAGACTGGGACCTGCTTGGCAGTTGATCTTTGAGGGGGACTCTGGGTCCCACATGCCATAGCCTGGACAAGTACTGAGCTCTGGTCTTTGCTCAGCGAGGCTTGTAGAGGTCGCCTGGCACGGATTGAACTCACCAATTTGACTTGCAAAGCATTTGAACAAATACATAGGGATGGAAGGATCCACTGGCATGGGACCTTCTTGGGCGAGCCCGCATTGCCAGCCTACCCTCAGATCTTCCGCCTTGAACACCAGATTGCTGGTTTCACAAGACTACAAGTACCCTTTGGACAAATGTGCGGGGGCTGTAAGCAACAAGGATGTGTCCTTCTTGGAAAAAGGGCCTTGAGCATCCCCCTGTGTCTAAACCTGGCTTAAACACATGGTTCTCCGTACCGGGCTGGTTCGTCTAAACAAAGTCTCGAATAAATGCTTGGAGAACTATAGGTGGGCTTCTCGAGGTAGGCTAGGCGATGCTAAAGTGGGCTGACAGTGGTCAAAGGAGCCACAAAAAACAGGCTGCTAGCCGTGAACCCAGCCGGGTACTGGAGATCTTCTTCATACAGGTCTAAATACCGATTGTCCAGTGGAGAGACACTAAGTCGATGTGGGCAAGTACTTCCAGTTGCCCAGTGACAGTGACCCCAGGACATTTATGATCTCTAGAGAGGAACCCACCAAAAAAACAAAAACAAAAAAGGACACGGGCCCCTCTTGCCAGGTCATGACACTCTTGCTGATTCAAGGGCGGAAACAAACAATGATCAGCTTATTCTCTGGGATGGATAAAAACCACCTACTAGCCGAGGGGGAAAAACGGATCGGCGGAGCCTCGGCATCCACCTGAGTCTGCTCCTTCGCGGTGTCCCACTCCTAAACGGCCAACTCACTGGCAGGATGCGTATATACATATGTGTATGTGTGTGATTGAATAAAACTATATGTTTATATACATGTATTTATACACCAATGAACACGCACAAAAACATACATATTATCTATACATGAACACTATGTAGATGTGAATGCATGCATGTGCTATATATATATATATATATTTGCAGGCGTACCTGTGCACGTTTGCTTGTAAACAGTAGACATGTATATATGCACGCTTGCACGTATGCATGGAATGAAAAGAATGCATGTCATGTGTATCTACTAGGTACACTAATCCTGGGGCGGCATGCATGTTACTTGGCGGCGTTTATTGCCCTTCATGCTAAGCACCCAATGTTGCTCAATCGGATCCCATTACATTGACAGGGAACCCAGGACTAATAACCACTGGGTTGATGAATAGGGGATGTCCCGTTTCAGAGGGTATTCTTCGTTGCTTTCGGGGAACACCCAAATGAATCTGCAAGCTTCTGTTCTCTCCAAATCCTGGCTCAACAACACACTAATCCAAGGGATCCCCCAGATATGAATATGTTAACCACAGGCTAAACACACGGGCTTCCTTGAAATGAATGCCTCCTCCACAAAAAAAGGGGTGCGCACTTCTGACTGAGTGTGGCCTGTCCAGGTGTAGACCTGGCCACTTGGACCCCCCACAGTGCCGAAGCCCTTCGCGTGCGCAGCACTGCGTCCTGAGGCGCCGGATCCCAACGCCAAGCGATCGGCACCGGGGAGAGCATGGCTTAGCCCAGTAACCATTCCATCCATGCCAACTAGCGCAGGATTTGATGTCCAGTAGGTGGCAAAGTAAGGCAACCCAATCTGCCACTGGGCAGGGAAAGGCTCGGAACACAGGTGTCCTTCATTGAGACCCAACATGTGGGGCTTGATGCTAAGGAATGGGGAGCCTGGAAGCTCACTGCCGTGCAAAACCTCCTGACTCCTTTCTGAGCAGGGTTCATGAGATATATGGTAGCAAAAGGATGGGCGCCACATTGCTCACGCACAAGAGCCCGTGACACTGAAAGGACTAACACCTTCTCCAATGTGGTCATGGCATCCGAGCAGGTGATGCTTGGAATATTGCCAGCCCGAGGAAAACCGCAGACCTAGTAAAACAAAAAGCGCCCCTGCGCTGGCTGTGCTAGCGGGATTTCCCCTAAGCCGAAACTTCTCAGGGGAGGGGGGAAGTTTTGCACAATTCCGTACTCGAAGCGTACGTCTTGACATAAAGTCGTCACTACAAACATCTCAAGTCATTGGCATTTCATGACCCATAGAAACACCTGAAATCACAATCACGGACATGCCTGACCTGGCCCTATTCCTTTATGTTCTGCTCTGCGCACAGAAGCACAAAGGTGCCGTCACAACTGTTCCAACCCTGGCCCAGTCCTCTTTGCCTGCGCCGGCCGGTTCTTGCCTGCCGCGACTGAGGGATGTGAACCAACACGGTTCGGGGGAAGGGGCACTCCCCCCGCTACGCCTGCACGGTGATGAGCAGGTCTTTTGCAGCCCCCACTACAAATGAGCAAGGAACGATTTAAAAAGCTCACGGAAAATGCAGAGAACCGAGTCAGCAGCCAACACCTTCTGCAAGGGTTCCTGAAGGATGTCCCGAAAGGCATCTGTGTGGTGCTCCCATGTGCTCCTAACTAGCCTGCCAGTGTCCCTGTCACAGCAGTTGCAGTCTTGGGGCCACCAACAAGCACGGGGAAATGGAGATGTCTGAATGAGCCCTTGTTGCCACTACGAGTTGACTGAGTTGAAAGTTGGGCTGCTTTAAAGACCCCAGAAACTTGTCCTGCAAGGGAAAGCCGAAGAACTATCTGCCCTTATATCTTGGCCCAACATTGGCATCGGGTCTGTACAAATCAGACCTCCCAAGCCTGGCTTGGCTTTGCCTTGTCTTCCCTCTCTTGCTTCAGTACTCTTGTTCCAAAACATGTTCAATACCATCTCCTCAACATCCCAAAAAAGATCGGAAGCCGTTCATTGAATTATTAAAACCCTTTCAGGATGCCCTTGAGAAACAAACAGCTTCTGTGCACGCCGCCAGCCAAGGCGCAATGGCAAGCCCCGCGGCAGAAACAGCACAGGTCACCACGCCTCGCGCTCCACCGCGTGGCAAGAAATGCTCGGGGTGGATGTTGACATGTGAGCCATGTCAAATCTTCTTGTTGCCCAAGGAGGTTATTGGAAAAGTAAACGTGTTCGTGGGAAGTCCTGCGAGTTCCCCCATATCCAGCCAAATAGACGGAATTTTCGATCGAACCTCATGTGAGCAAGGGTTTCCCCACCAGACTCGGGAAGGACCATTTTGGAGGACCACCCTAAGCGGGACAAAGGAAATGGGAACACACAAAAGCAAATGATCAGTGAATTTGAGTTGGCATTGCGGTCCGGTCTGCAATCTTTGAGACATGGGGCGGGTCGCTTAGCCTGACCGACCTCTGCTGTTCGAGATAGTATTTACAGGAGATCCCCCAAGAAGGGCAGTGCCGCACTTTTGGAGGGTTCCTCTAACTTGATTTATCAGTTTGAAGGCAAAAATGGATTTCTCCCAAACCATGCAAAGTTGCCCCCTAGTGGCAAAGAAGCCCCTTTTTGGTTGGTTGATTCCGTTTCTTAGCGTGTCCGCGATCCCAACTTAGAAGGATTGTGAGGGTCCACAACTGCGCGATCCAAAGTCAGCATCGCGAGGATTGGAGCACAATCATTGGAGAAAGACCCAAAAAGGGCTTGCTGTTGTTCCTGTCAAGTGGGCAGCTAGGGCAGCAACTTCCCTGCTTTCCCCCCCTTTCTAAAGAAAACATCCCCCTATCTATGTATTATAACAATCTGGCAGAGCAAAGTTCAAGCTTTCGGCCTTGACTCAAATGATGAATCTGCCAAGAAAGAATCTAACAAAAACATTAGTCAGCTGGCCAAGTCAGGGAACCAAACAAGCCCAAACAAGATTCCTGCCCCCAACTTGAAAATATGCGAGGCTACAAAACTCACCTCCAAACGTGATTATCTCGCGCCCACATTCTGGGAATACGCATCCACTTGGAAGGGTCCCTTATTGGAGGGGTACGACCCACACTCCCACTCCCAATCTGGGTGTACTAAACCACTCACTAGCATCACACGAGGGACCCTTCATCACGGCAATTTGTCCGTCGCAAACCACCGAGAGAGAAGACTTACCCCAGATCGGAAGGCTAGCATCGCAAGCCAAAGGAAGCCAATCCAAGCTGCGTGAAGATTTCTGGTTTGCCCCTTTCGCAACAAACAACTCTCCAACCTGGTTTCCTTTAAGGACTATTTGCAATATGGACGACCAAAGCCGTTGGCCCCTGGCTAGAAAACAAGAAGTACCTCCTGTTCGCCAACATGGAAGCGCCTGACTGAGGGGTCCTGGAACACTATATTTCCCTTTCAAAGAGCCTTGTGGTGGGTTTCATGTGAGTGGACAGGAGCGCAACTCCTTTTGGCTTCGTTTAAACAACATCGGCTCTTCAGCACGCACGCTCACGCCTGGGCGTGGAACTGGCGGCCTGGTCGGGAAGACCGAGCGAGAGCGGAAGTTCCCTTGGGTCAATACTAAGGGAGCATAAGGGTCACAATTCTTCTAAAAAGCACTTTGCCGTATGTGATACAAGGTGCTGAACGCACATAGTTATCTTGTGATGGCTTGGTCGCAAAGAATCCCCACAACCTCAGTGTAATTGTCCAGGCGCTTTGCCACCAAACAGAACGCAAACACAAAAGCAAAAGCAATGCCTACGTAACCTGCATCATTGGTTGTGAAATCGCTCATTCTGTCCTAGACCGACGATCACGTGTCATCCCCTCCTGTGCGCTCCCCAACCCATCTTTTTGTCAGCTGGTCCTGAAACATTCCTGAAAGATTAGATCCAAAGACCTGCCTCACAAGGGGGTCCTCTAAATCAGCAAAAAGCATGTCTCAACTGGCCCAACTGGGTCGTTTTGCGGTTTTCTGGAATCAAACATGGTAATTTGTTTGTGGGTTTGCGGCAGGTTCAGAAAGAGTTCCTGTAAGTAGGACCTCAGAGAAGGCACCCGCAGAGGAAACACGTGGGAGGCGAATGCCCGAATACCTGGAGTACCACCCAAAACCGATAGGGAGCCAGCAATGTCCGTGGCCATGAGCCAAGGCTAAAGAGGACCTTGGAAATTTAGTGAGTCCCCCATGCCCGTCCTACATGGGACCAATGAGTACTGGAAGTTTCGCCCGCTGCACTGGCTGATGATTTGAAACTTAAAGCTGGGCTGTGGGCTGAGTTAACTGGCTCAAAGGCCCGAGTTTCCACGATCAAAACCCTCTACGTCTCAAACACACTAAGACAACAAATATGAGCTTAACACATGAATAGTTGAGTCTTGCACAGGTCATTTGATGTGGCCCCCGAGTTGATATTCTGGTCTCAACCACCACGTTGAGGAGATCAATCAATAAAAACACATGTATATATATTTATATAGCGAACGTTACAGTGACTGCACACTTAGTGGGGTAGTCCAGGAAAAGTTCGACAAGGGGCAGAATAGCTCAGATGCCCAGTGGCCATGGGAAAGACAGGGCATCCTTTTTTGGCTGGTTGACGCGGCAGGGGAACCCTTGCCCAAAAAAATGAAAAACGGGCGCCAGTGGGCAACAAAGATAGGGGGACCCTTAAAATTGCTGATCCTCCTGATGTGTTCCCTTTTAGCAACCGAAAAGGGAAAGCTCCTCATTTTAAGATACAGACCCACGAAATCACGTTCAGCCAGCAAAGGTTTGTTTGCACTGACTCGCTTGGTTTGCAATCTGAATTGCAAACGTATAGCGCGGGTGATTCAAAGCGGACGTAGGGACAGAGCCGCATTTGGAGCAGCGGTCGCAGGTCGACCAAATCCTGGGGCTAAGGAGCCCACCAAATCCCAGGGACCAACGCAGAATTGCCCAGCCTTCGTGCCTTTCTGGAGTTGACCGTGCTTATCGAGAAATCCGCCAAAAGAGAAGAGAAAACGGGCGTTGCTGAATAACTGAGAACGGAACAATTTTGGCTCTTGACATGCCACAGGTGCGCATTCGCTGAAGTCGGGACTGGACCAAGGCGACACGTTGCGCTGAAATGTGGCCAACAAAAAGCCCATGCACAGCCAGTTGAGCAAATTGGAGAAGAGCCAACAAGTGGCAAAACCTTTTCCAGAAGGGTCGACTTCTGTTGGACAATCGACAACTCCCCTTCAATCAGGTGGCTTCCTTTTGGTCCCCCATGGCAACATTGGAGTTGCCACTTGCGTGTCCTTTGTTTTTTTTTTTGGGGGGGCACTCCTCTACTGGTGATGTTTCGGCTGGAGGGACTTAATTCAAATCTTCCATTTGCTTAAGTTTCCTGGAAAAACGGAACATTTACAATAGTGATAGATTATCTTTCAAACCAACTGGGGAAATAGAAAATACTCTTGAGCAATTGGAAGAAATGTAGCGGGAGACTCCCCACCCGCGGCCATGCCTAGGGGTTGGGGTGCTGACCTCCCTGGAAACGGGCGCGGCCTGGCAGCTGTCAGTCGCTGGCTACTTGGCCGCCCTTGTTTGGTGATTGAGTTACGCCAGAAAACCCCATTTATCAAAGGGTTTGGCTGCAGGAAAATCTTCAGGAAATGGCCCCACAACACCCCAAATCAGCCGTTTTCCCGTAGAATTTCCTGTCACCCAACCCCTTGAATTTAGGAACGGTGTGCAACCTGCTTCATGACCGGTAACCGAGGCGGTCTAGGACTCCGCCACGCCGGCAACAGCTCGGGGGCGTATTCTCTGGTTGGAATCCCCGGTGGTTGCTGGAAATTGGCCTCGTGACTGGGAATGACTGGGAGTTGAAACTGATCCCACTGAAACCATCCCTAGCTGCAACTCACAAAAGGAATGCCCTCCACTCACAGAAAGTTAACACCCACAATAGTGGGTAGGAACAGGTACAGTTAGCACGCATTTGCAGATTTCCCAGGAAATGGGTGGGAAACAATCGACTACAAAATCTATAACATTCGCCAAGGCGCAAGCTTTGCAATGCTTCAAGCAACGCGAGCCCTTAAAAATGCACGAGCTCCAATCAGAGCTGCTCTGCTTTCGCTGTCGATAGTTCAACTCTTTGTTTGGAAAGAGCGGCATGGTCTCGTGACCAGAAGCCCTCATCATCGCTCATCACTTGTCATGCAATCGATCGATAAGGTCACATGAGCGAGACGCCGCGCGTCACCAATCGCACAAGTCACGCCTGTTGAGGTGCTTCTTTTGGCCAAGTGGAAACATCGCCTCCGAACGATTGGCCACTGGGCCGTCACCCTGCCGCAAGGCGCATACAGGTCGGACTATACGCCCATAAACCAGGTAGAATCTACGAAAGCTACCGATGGGGGCTTTTGGGCACTGCCCAACCTGAAATGCTAGGCCTCAGGATCCGGCAACGTGCGATCTAACCTGGCAACAAACGCAAAACCAATGTCCATCCCCTCGTGGCTTGCCTGCGTGTGTAAACTAGAGCACCCTTGGGGTACACTTTTCGCAAGTGTGAGGCAGATTCAAATTGCATCTGGACAAATCATTCATCTGTTGTCTGCCACCCTGGCCCGCCGGGAAGAAATGAGTGCGGCGAACACGCCTTCACCTGGATGTGAGGCGCGTTTTTTGCCGTCAGCGCCATAGCGAAGCGACCAAAACTGGAGGCTCAAGCTGCCGGAAACTGCCCGAAGCAATCCTAGCTCGAACATGCGCTCGGGCAAGTAGGAGAGGCCACCTTCATTCTGGGCAACTTGTTGAAATGTTCTTTGAAAAGTTGAAGGTTTTTGACAACCGCCCCTGTGGAAACAGCACATGCTTGACCAGGAACAAGGCTCCCGGAAGCTTCGATAGCACCTTGCGCAGTGCCTCTTGATACGAGGCCGAATAAAACCGGGTCCGAATCTGGATGTCCATTCAACAATATTGCTGTTAGCCCTGAACCCAGGCGCGGGTTTGGACAAGCCTTCATGGTTCTTGGGGTCTCAAGAAATCAAAAAAAGGAATCGCATCCGTCCTCTAAGAGTAAGATGCGGTGCAACAAACGCTTGAAAAAAACAACAGACATGCTTAGAGCAGTAAAGCCAAATATCATCCAATTCAAGACGCAACCTCTCGACCAAGAACCTGTTTGAAACTGCTTCTCTGCCACACTTATGAAGGCAAACGCTCAGAAGCTCATGGACCTTGAGACAATGGGCAGCTGGAAAGCGGCGGGAGGTGTGCCGCAGCGCCATGTATCAAATCTCCCCCAGAACGGGTACATTTCTCGGCACAAATGAAGTCCAGGGTTCACGCCCCTCCCCCAACTCAAACTGATGCCTGGTTATGGACAACGCAAAATTGCTGAGGAAAAAGCATCTACTCGCTTTGCAAGCTGTTGAGTGCTGTCCTGGTGCAGGAAGGCTCGCCCTCAGCTTTTCCATGAGAGTAACACAAAAACAGGTGGACAGCAGGGATCCCTATATGTCCATGTCAAACATTACCAAACCCAAAAGGAAACTCACCTAAAGTTGGTCCAAAAGTCAATGCTCGAACAACTAAAAGGGAAACGGAGGGAATCCAGGCGGTTGCCAAAACTGGTGTTTGGAACCCTGGCAGCTCAAGCCAGCGTCGACTTTCCAATCGGCAGAAGCCCATTTTTTGGGCAAGAAGGCATACCGGCGTTACCAACATAGGTCCCCTGCACAGGCGTCCTTTTCGATGCAGCCCTGGATCTGGCGCTTGAATCCACAACGGAAGCTACAGAAGAACAATGGTTAGCTTCCTGTTGGTTTCCATTTAAATAGTACAACCAAAACGGGGGCCCCATTTGAGAGACACTCAGTTGTATCCCTTTCGTGAGGGTACCATTGTTAAATGGCTTTAGAGGGAGAGCTGTTTAAACCTCCCCGGAAGATAAGACTCAACATGGCCAAGGCTGCATGAGGTGTTGCTTAACACCATCTCCAAGAAACCTGTACTGGGGTGTAAAACACAGATTGTAGAACCCTCCTTCCCAGGGAAACAAAGTTTGAGCTTTTGGATCTCCTTGAAATTAGTATTCCCAGGGTTGCCGCAAACAGTTTGATTGGAACGGTGTTGAGAAAGCACTTTTTGCGACCGAAACTTCTTTGACGTATTTATTCCCTGCTGTCTTGGGTTCCCTATCTCATTCCCACAACCCGGCTTCTGATAGGGGTAAGGTTCCATTGGAACTGCCTCTTTTGGAGGCAAAACCAAGGGACCCTAAAGCCTCGGAACCGAACTCGAACATCTCCAGGCAATGGTTTGGATGGCTTTGGGTGAACCGCAGCCGGGCTCTTTTGCGTTTCTTGGCGACTAAGATGGTCTTTTGGTTGCCCCATTCTGACCTGGGTGGGCAACCCAATTGAGACTTCTTTCCAACGTCTTTCCCACAGGGAGAATGGGCTCCAGTAAATGAAATGGAATCGGGTCGGAAATCCAACGCTCTCTGCCAATCAGCCAATTTGATGGAGCTGCGCATGTCGATCACTTGGTTTAGTTCAACTTAAGGACGCCCACAAGCAAAGCGTAAGCACCATTCCGAACAAAATCCAGGACTCTGCTCTCTGTTTGGTGCTCTCCCCGCCACGGGCAAAAGGTCGACCTTCTCTATATATGGAAATGCCGATTGTTTAGAATTGTTTAGGCAAGAGCCCGCTTTTGCGCGATTTGGTCACATCATTCGACCCAAGGGCCCCTCCCCGATCCAAACGTCGACTCCTTGAAGTGGACCTCGGCGATTCGAATCGAATCGACCCAAAAGTCCGGCAGTCTTGGGTCTGTTCAACGGGTAACAAATGGGGTCCGAAGAGACGGGCTCTACACACAGTATCCTGCGCAAGCGATTGCATCCTGCGCAAGAAGTTGGAACTCGAAAATAATAGAACACCTTCACCCGCTAGTAAACGTCCCAACTTCAAGGAGTCGGATTTGAAGATCTCTCCCACGGCTTCTCGGGGAATGGCAGGCATCCTGCAGCCGGCTCTACCAGTTTCCGCAAATCTGGGTTTGTCTCAAAATAGATGAACACAAACAAACGGCGGGTCTCCTGTTGCCTTCCCTTTAAAACCAAGAAAATGCACGCCTCCAAAACAAACCGACCCAAAGTCAGACCCCTTTTCAGCTTTGATTCAGCACGTGGGCAAATGGGGGCTATGACCGACCATTGCCAAATTGGAGATTCCGATCCACCTTGAACAGTTTTCTTTTGAAGGAACCCATTTTCTGTGACAGCAAAAGGAATACCACCTTGTTGGGGGTCCCTTCTTCTAAGACACCCAACAGGTTGACAACCAAATCGGGAGCACTTCTAGGCCCAAGTGCAATCTGCCGCCGTGTGGTTAAACAGCAAATAAAGGAAACCCAATACGAGCAAAAAGGCAAAAGCGGCGCCAGTTCAGTCTGCCAATGTCAAGCCCGTCCAGAAAAAGTGTAGCGATCCATCCTTTTGACAACCACTGGTTCCAATGACTTGGCTGCTGTTCGGTTGGATCTTTAGACTTTAACTTTTGGGAAATCAAGCGTTTCACCACAACAAGTTAAACTTTTTGCAGATGGGTCAACAGCAACCAAGAATGTTGACCCCTGATCTTCAACCCGTCCTGTCCTACTGATTGAGGGCAACAGTAATGAGCCCCCCATAAAAGGGGGCAAGGGGGCACCCCTTACTAATCAACAAGTTTCTTGTTCTTAGCAAAGCAATGATCTGAGGTTCCCATTCAGTCTTGCAGGACACCTCTCTCGAGCCCTTGTCGCTTCTTTTGCAGCGAAAATGCGGAAGTCCTGGTGTCGCCTCTGCTTGGCCACTGGCGATGAATATGGCAACAGGGACTCCCCTAACAAAATGCACCCCGTGAAATGCATCAGCCTTCCAGACCCCATATCTTATTCTGATGCCTGGTTTTGGTTTGCCCGCAGAAAGGCACTCCTTGGTTTTCAGTTAGCACGGAAGCCTTCCCTGAGGCAAGGCTCACTGTTTCTGATAATGTTGACCCCGGAACAAATCCGTGGAAGTCATACGGGGCGTTGCATCCAAAACTGATCCGGATCCCTTCTGGAACGAATTGCCATCCCCAATCCAGGATTGAATACCTGGCAAATGGCACTGATCTCCTGACCCGAATTAACAGCCAAACAAAAAAGGACCTTCAGCATGGCTTAGGGTGTTTCAGCTCCGGGTAAGACCGCTACAACTCGTCCAGGCATTGCCAAATTCGAACGCTAGCCACTGGCGCAAGCTGCGGAAGATTCCTCGCCTCAGGCGAAGGTAACCTCCATGGGATGTCTCGCTCGGGTCTGGATGCGACAGGCGCAGGTTTCATGCCTGTGTGGCACCTTCCCTCCTGGGCAAAAATAGGTGCTAACATCTGCGCATGTGAGTGGGGAAGACATATTTTTTCCAACAAGTTGAACGTTAAAGATCCAAACAACTAATTACTGTAGCAGCCAAAATGCTAGTGCTCTCTCACACCAGCACTCGGCCGGAATCAGCCATGGTCAGCATAACTTGTTTCCGCCACAGGACATGTTAAAATCGGCGAGCCCCCTGGCTGATGTTGGAAATTGAATGGACGATTGACTATCAGCAATTGACTGAACCTCACATGGTGCCAAAAGGTGTGAAGAGTTCCAAAAGGCTCCAAAAGTGCCAACAGGTGCCACGAAACAATACCTACCCCATTTAAGGGGCATTAAGAGAACATGCCGCCAAGAAAGGGCCCCTTGCGTCGGACTCAGAACGTGGGATTTATATGCTCCCTGTGGTCCTCCTTTTGGTGAAGGCAGCGCTAGTTGTGAGCTTCCTTTCCGGGAAATCAACAGTTTTGGAGTTCATAGCTCGCAATGCCAAGACAAAAGACAAGACATAAGCACCCATTTTCATGTTTCCTCCGAGGCCTCTTCGGCTTCCAGTACTAGTACTCATGAGAAGCATTTGCAAATGTGAATCCATTGCTGTTTAGCTGCTCTTTGGTGGCGACGCTCCAATAATTAAGCCGTGATAAGCGTTCGTCAAAATCGGGGGACTTTTTCGTCATTGTGAGCGTGAGCTTCTCTCACATGCCGAATGGAAATTCGTGCTGGGATCTGTTTAAAATAGATTGTGCCTTCAATGTTAACTGATAGGTAAACAAATTATATTTGGCATGGACACCCTGTGAAAGTGCTAGCTTGGGATATTAACAATTCTATTTCAAGTTCAAATCTAAAATAGAAGCTGTGAGGAGATAGCATCCTTGCAAAATTTGATCTAGACTCTGATTGGCGAACAAAGTCCATCGGGAAATAACATCGATCTAAACTATGTAATTTCCAATAGCGTAGTTCCTTGTTGAATCCCATTTAAACCCTATCCAAACTCTAGTTCTAATTGAATCCTAGAGAGCGGCTGTTGATGGAGATGTGCAACTTTTGGAACGAAACACTTGTTACAGACAAACTTGTTTTCGTTATGTTCTGACCACGGCGGTGCTGGGGACTAGCGAAAGCCAGTGTGACACCTCCGCAATCTTTCTTTATGAAGATGTACTATCTTTATCAAACTCTAGTCAGTTTCTAACTGAAACTAACTGAACTTCACAAGGAAACAATCCAATGCGAGCTTCCGCACAAATTATTTAACATTGCTGAGACCTCTGACTTATTGCCTTGTGAAGACTTACTGTCTTTGTCAATGTCTACTCAAATCTGACTGAAATTAAGGCAATCTTAACCAGAAAATAACTCAATCAGAACTCCTATTCTAAATTGGATTGTAAAATGGAATTACTCTTACTTTATTCTACATTAACATATACACCGGGTGTTTCCCAATACATATTTGTCACAGCTTCGTGAATGACAAGCGCACGCTCAGGGTAACGTGTTCTGTTCCCTCTAAAGCCGACAGAAAAAAAGGAACACAACAAACAAACACACCCGTGCTCCAACCTCTTGTGAGTTGTCTTGTCATGGCTGGTGTCAAAACGGCCCTGTACAAATGGCACCCTCTACCCCTAGTCCTTGGTCTAGATGCCGGTTTCCTTGGCACTCGTGCAGAGGTCTGATTGACTAAATCTCAAATTTCCCCAGTTAAGTGCACCACACAGGTCTCCTGAACACCAGGCATTTCGCATTCAGAAGAAGCGCGTGCGCTTGCAAGCCCGGATTTGCGCAGTTGCGATTGCTGCTGGCCGTCCCGCCGGCACGGCCAGAGCATGACCCATGATGGTGGGGGGGAGGGTGAAGGGGACCCCAATGGAAGTGAGTGGCACGGTACCTGACGGGCTGGGAATCAACGACTTTGGTATCACAGACAAGGCGGCTGCCCACAAAAAATGCATCGACCTGGAGGCTCTAGTGGACCCTTGCCTGGATTACTTGATCAGTTTAACCCGCCTGGGGCTTAGATCTTGATATACACCATCAATTCAAAAACATACAAGGGCCGAAATATGGAAATGTGCCGAAGGTTGACCAAGAATACGGGCGGTTTCACTTTTCTTGGGCGAGACCTTCCTAGTAGAATGGCATTAATGCGGGGAAAAGCAGATGTTTACCTCAGCTTCCTTCTAGGGTTTGGAGGCTGCCGGAAAAAGGCAAACTTACCCTCTATTCAAATCCGACAGACCAAGTAATAACTAAGCATTTCTTACATTTGGTTCCAAACATGTTACGAAGGGTAAATCACACAACAGCACCATTGAACCTACTCCCAACGGGAGCAACTCAGCCATTGCAACGTGTACAAAGTGCACATGTGGCTTCCTGCTGAGATGTAAAAACTAAAACCATTTTGCACCCAGGTGAATTGGGCGTTTCCATTTGGCACATGTAAGACTATATGCATGGACCTACTCATCCCAAGTCATCCAAGTCAAGAGATGCCCATGGCACTGGCACTCCACAATGTTGTTCAAATGTCAGTCAAAAAGGGGGTATTCGTGCCGACACGTTCGCCGTGTTCCCAGCTAAAAAGTTTAAACAAATCTGCTCCAAGCGAAAGACACCATCACCCTAACGACTGCACTTTAAACGCTTAAGTGAAGCTTGCACTTAAGTGGATCGCCGCACCTGCAAAAGCCGAGTTTGGTGTGCGTTGTTCCCCAGCACTGGGCAGTCTGGTTGGACGTCGGCAAAGTGGGAGGGGGGTTGTACCACGACCCTCCCGATCGGCAAATCTCGGCAAAGGGCTGTCGTTCACTCCGCATCACTCCGCTACACGCTGCCAGCGGCCATGAATTTCCGAAGAAGTGTTCGCTCCGGCTTGAGGTTCGCTCCGACTTGAGGCTCTCAAGTACGCGCCGGCCATATCCGACTGCCGAAACGTTGGGATACCCCAATCCAATTGCCCAGTAACTCTGAAAGAAGAGGGCCCACCAAACGAAGAAGGAAAAGCGGCTCCGCGCTGAACAACTCTTGCGACTTTTGCGGCTCGGAGACACGCCCACGTATACACTGGGATGCACACGCCCTAGTCTGCCTGGATGCACAAAGACCAAAGGCACCCCCCAATGGATCTACCTACCAAGGTGTGTGACACACGTTGTACGCAACCTCACAGCACCCCAGGCTCATTGCGCCCTAAGTTCCGTCATGGCCCGCCCACTTGCAGGCACTTGGGCTAGGCTCGCCACTGAACAACGACGCAATTTTGGGTTGGTTTATTCCGAATTCCCCACTGATGGGCGTGTCCTCCGCAAAGCGGTTGGCTTCCCCTTGGCTTTATGAATCTGCAAGTTGTGTGAAAAATTATGCTACGCACAGGAAGCGGAGCATGCAAAAGCATGGAGTCATCTAAATCACATTGAGGATTCAGATTTGGAACCCAAGTTGTTATCTTACTTTCTCACTTGTGGACAAGCTTCCCCAGAAGTTTCCTCAATCACCAAATAATCTGGGTGCCAAGCAGTGTCTTTCGGGTAAATCCAAAATTATGGTTGTCTAGCCCCGAGCGCCTCTTCGGTTGGCAGCGTGTCTCGGCCCGGCTCTTAAATGGCATACATGCCTGTCAAAATCTGAGACCTATGGACCTGTAAACGGCTCTGGGATAGGGTGCCGTGAATGTCCGGCCTTCTTTTCCGCTGGGTTTGGAGCCCATGGTGCGCCAAAGGCTTGGGCTATTCCACAGCAATCAAAGTCGTCCAAATAGATCGTATCAAAGAAAATGCAAAAAAGAACCTCAGACTTAAAGAAGTGTGTGACGGTTCGAAGGGCAAGTTGATTTGGGTGCCCTTTGAGGCAAGCATGTTGGTTCACAGGGAGCCCAATCGGAAACTAACGTTTGAGGGCATGATTGTCGAAAATGGCCCTGTGATACCAAAGTGGGTGATTCCTATGACCACTAATTACATCGCAAAGGGCTTCACTTGATAATTTTCATGGAAACCGGCCCCAACCCCCGATCACAAGGATGCCCCCAAATCACTGCACCCCAGGCAACACTGCGCGAAGAAGTGACCACACGATTAGGTTCTAAGGTGGTTCCAGGGATAACTTCCCCATTTTGCCGGGAGCGTTCTTTCCAGAACGCCACCAAATACGCAGGCAAAGGACGTGTAATTTGACGAAATTTGGGCATCGCTGTCTGTGGAGTGACCATGTTTAAGGGTTGTCTGATTTTGATGCATCCCCATTTTGACAGGCTCACGTTGGTGCCGGATGGCTTTGCCATTTGCTTGCCTCAGTCGCCGGAGTAAATGAACCCTGATGTCTCCGAGAGTGCCGCCGTGTTGAAAAGGGGGGGGCTGCTGTCTTTGCCCCCTCAACCTGTTTGTTGGGCCCACAAACCAAAAAGGTAAGCAAACCCATCCAGGAAAAAGGGGGCCCAATTTTTTAGAACAAAACACATACGCAAAAAGGTGGCACCCAAAGGTCATGCTCGAACTATGGCAACTCAGGCTTCGAGTGTATTTTCAACCAACAATGTAACCAAGACCAAATGTTGGCAGCACAGCAACCATTCTTCTCTGTCCGACCAAAAGGGAACCTGCAGGTCCAGGTGGCTGGAAATTCTAGAGGAAGTTAGCTACACAAATCAGCTTGGTACTTCTTCTTTGGCTATACTCGGACGATCTCCTGTAAGTAGTTTCTTTGATATAGAAACTTACTTGCGGAATGGAGGCTGGCTGGGAAGAAAACCAAACTGGCCCATGTGTCTGGCGAAATAACTTGCCGCTTGTTGGGCATGACTGCAAGTAGCCTCGCAAGTGACTCAGCAGCCGTATGCTTAACATTTTCGGACGGTTTGGGGGCTGGCACGGGAGAGTCCTAAAGTCTCTCCTGAATTTCTAGCTGTTGCTCCAGTGACCCCGGTAAAAGGGGAGCACTTTGGGGTCCATCTTTGGCAGGGAGCACTCCGAACAACAACTGGGAAAAGCACAACGGCTTGGTTTGTCCCCTGGCCCCTGGCTACTGGCGGCCTTTTCATGCCTTGTCCCCAAAGTAAGGCAACACCCCGAACCAGTACATTCCCAATGTAGGTGTGTCAAAATAGAAGAACCCCTTTGAACTTAAAACCACACCAAAAAGGTTCCCCCACAGAAGCGCCCACCCAGGCAGCTTGGGCACGTGTGGGCTCCCTCTACTCGGTGTCCCGGTTGTTGAAGGTCCGCGTCTTCCTGCTCAGTGCAGGTTCCGGTGGATTGCCTGGGTGCAAAGCCGGAGTTTGACAGGCACACATCTCACTTCCTGAGTAGATAGACAGAAAACACAAACTCTTCGGCGTCTGCCGAAAATGAGTGTCGCATCTTTTAGGGGACCCCCCCAAAAAACTTCTGGTCTCCCTTTTGGTATCCCTTGCAACCAAACTAAAAACGGGTACCGAGCCTCGTCTCGATTCCTTGCGACTAGACCTGTCTTGGCTTGAGGGATCCAAGTACCCATACCATGTGAAGTCATGGCCACGGATTTGTTTACAGCACGCCCAAGTCCATTTGACCTTCAGGCCTTCAGGCTATGCAAAGGTAAAGTTACACCCCCAGATGGGGGTTGCCTGCAAAAATCCATCTTTCTCTCTCCCAGGTCGAAGGCAGTGGTTCTGTCAGGCCTTTCAAGAAGGCCTTCTGAGTCGGAGCTTGCTGTTACCAAATCCCACAGATAAATGGTAGGTACCCCCCCTTTCCGTAGGCCCCGTAGGCGGAAACACACTTGCGCTCAGCTGTTCAAAGGCCCTTGAAGGATGCGTATGTGCCAATTCAAGAATCATCTCTACCAGCTAATTTCGGGGACCCCCTAAAGTAGGAGCTTTTGGATGTGTTCTTCAATGGTTGGGCCTGGGGCTCCTCGCTAAAGGACCTGCAAATTAAAGGTCACCCAAATGGAGAGCGCGTAAGGTCAGTTTCCGCCTTTGCTTCAACATGTCCACCCCGGATTGCTAAGCCAAATCCGAAGTTACCTCTGTCATCGGACGTCCGAACACAGCCCCCAAATCTGCTGACTCAGGCACGCCGGGCAAGAAGCTTCTGCGTGACCTCGTTGGACCTGGCAGGGAACGAAGCTTCCGATGCTACACTTGTTTGCCCCCGCCCTGTAAGAGAAAGACAAGACGCCTTCTTTGGGGCTTACTAAACTTACCCTCCCAGGTGGGAACAAGTGTCACCTGCGCCTCATTGCGGAATGAAGGGCGCCAAATAATATCCCCAGCGCCCAACAACCCCCAAAACCTTTCTGGGGTTGCATTAACAAATACACCAAGCTCCAGTGAAGTAATGTCAAACTGGATGTTGTCGGCCCTGCAAAACAAAAGCAAGCAAAACAATCCGAATCATGCCACATAATTCAATTCCCGAAATTGAAGGCTGATCAAAACACTGCAAAGCCGACCGCTTTGACATGATGTGCCATCAAAACCAAGAAGGCCTCGCATGCCATTCGGGGTTCAGTATCAAGAGTCTGTGTTTTTAAACCAGGGTACGCGGCTGGATGTTAAGAAAAACCGTGGCTCAAACAAAGGGGATCAAGCATTGGTCTAAGTGGGTCTCCCAGAAGGCTATCCTCAACATACACAGCAAAATGTGGTTTAAAGAGGCACCGCCCCTTCCCCCCGCCCGCAAAAAAAGAAGCAGTGTTGAGAACCCCTCAAAACGGGACCACTTGAGTCTGAGTGCTGATGACCCATTCTCCTGGATAACTGGCTTGCTCCAAACCCCCCTGAGCAAACGGGCGATCACCTGATGTTCGTTTAATCGAGAAGGATGTTGTTTCCAAAAGGTCTGATGTCAACCTCGTATTTAGAGACCCTCGCGTAATTGCAAAATCCGACCCGGCCAAGAATTTCCAAACTATCCCTCTGACCAACAGCCATGTTCCACAGCACCCCCCCTAGCATCCTATGACTAGTAAAAAGCCAAACCGCGTTTGGAGACCTGAGGTGTGGGGGGATCAAAGGCTTCAGCTTTTGGAGCCATGGCGAACAGAGGTCCAGGCACCTGGAGATATCCTCGTCCTTCTTGGCCTGGTCCTCTGCCTTTGCCGCAAGGACTTGCCACCCGCTCAACACCCTGCCCCTATGGTACCCTCAAAAAGGGTTCCCTTTTTGATGTAGCCTATATGGCTACCTTTTTTTGAGCGTCTGTAACGCGCGACGCGCCACGAATCTTGTTACGGAGGTCTGTAACGGAGGTCCTTGTTACTCAGGAGCGGGAAAACATTTCTTGACAAGCAGTATCAGTAGCACAATGTAGCGCAGAACAACAAAGAGCAGCAGCTTCTGCTCGAAAGTCGTACAGTACAAGCGCAGTACGCAAAGCACGCCTCCTAGATTGAAATTTGCAACTGCCGACACAAAGCAAAGTAACGAGGTGTGTAAAGGCTATGTAATGAGGCCTGTAACGAGGCAAAGCAAAGCGCAGTACGCAAAGCGCGCCGCCGAATACTAAACTCCTTACAAGGACCTTTAGAACGACTCCCATATGTGGATATGTATACATACTCAGACGTGTTTGTACCCCCCCCCCGTTGCCCAGTGATTACTTGATAGACAAAGGGCATTGTTGAGGTTACAAAGCGGAATCAAAGGTTAGCCCCCCCCCAGGTGTTGTCCACGAAACCGTGCAGGTGCAGGGTGTTGGCATACACGGCTGTGCCCATAATAACACCTTGTCCACCATCCAGAACTCCAAGCGCATACCCTCGACACTGCACCATGTCCAGGCTTTAATGCGCGCGAACTGAGCCAACACCTTGAAAAGGAGAAGCTCAACGATAGTCCTGCCTTTCGTCTTGGCCAGGCTTAGCCTATGCACAAGTTGACTTGTTGATGGGCGCCAGGAAGAAAAGCCAAAAGGGCAAAAAGTGAAGAAGCTGAGTTGGGTCTGACAATGTAGTATTGCCCACAAACTGAACAATCGGAAACAACCGTTCTTTTGGCAATCCGTCTTGCGAGTACCTGAGAGCGGCACATGGCCGATAGGCTATGATAGCATGAGCTCCAAAGGACCGTCCGGTTTCTCTTTCACTCCACAACATAACACCCCTCTGTCGCAGTGAAATATTGAAGCTGCCGCAATCCGGAGATGGGGCACTAAACAACGTAATTAATGAACAACAGACACGCAAACACACACAAAAACAAACAAACAAACAAACAAACACACAAACACACAAACACACAAACACACAAACACACAAACACACAAACACACAACACACAAACACGCAAACAACACACACACACAAACACACAAACACACAAACACACAAACACACAAACACACACACACACACACACACACACACACACACACACACACACACACACACACACACACACACACACACAGACACACAAACACACAGACACACACACACAAACACACGCACACGCACACGCCCACCCCAAGCCCACGCCCACGCCCACGCCCACACGCGCACGCGCACGCGCACGCGCACGCGCACGCACACGCACACGCACACGCACACGCACACGCACACGCACACGCACACGCGCACGCGCACGCGCGCACGCGCACACGCGCACACACACACACACGCAATACATATCTATATATATATATACTTGAAAGGCTGCGTGGATTTTGCCACAGGCTTTGACGCGGACAGATTCGCAGCAGGAAGATGCTTCTGGCCACGCAGCGGAGGGCTGCGCATCCTTCACCCATGCGTCACGCCATTGGCCCAAGTTGTAGGTCATCCTGAGCGGAGCCGCTGGCAGAGCTGCCTCTTCGCCATTGTCTAGACAAGATTCGGGTACATTTGGGCTCTATATCTGCAGCAACCCCCTTGGCACGTTGGCTCCGGGAGAGCCTTGCGGATGGGGCAAGTTTTTGGCATACCCTCCCAAATGGAACCGGAGGGAACATGTCCTAAAGGGGCCTTCTGTCAGGTTCTTCGTTGACCGGCAGGGCCCTCCAAAAGGACTCAAAGGACTTGCATCTGTAGGGGCCGTGTATCACAAACAAAGCACTGCCTTGGCGCGAGGGCCCAGTCCAGCCAACATCTGCCATGACGGCTGAGTTCAGATTTCTGAAAAAAGCTTGATGGGTTGCCTTCCAGCACAGCATTCCTCTAATTTGCCCGCGGAGACTCAGCTAAATTCAACAAACAAGGGTGTGTGATGTATGTGTGCGTTTTTTCAATTGCACACGTTCAAAAAAAAACAATTCTAAAAAAAACAAAAACAAAAAGAGATGCCCACAGCTTGTGGGGCCCCTTTTTCGACACATACCCAAGGAACATGAGAGTGACAACCCCTGGCGCTAACAACTAAAACATGCACCGGTCATGACCGTGTTCTCTCGGACACCCTCGGGGAAAATGACATGTCGATGCCCTTGCATTTGTCGGCCAACAGGATTGCTGCAAAGACCTAGACATTTGGCCCCTGGCAAAAGGAACGGAAAAGGTTCGATTCTGTGGGCGCCGCGGCCCAAATCTGAGGTACAAAGAGGAAGCACATATTGCTTTCAGATTCTGACTCACACTTAAGCTCACCCATACATAAACACAGCAAATCATTTTGGAGACCCCGGTTCTACTTCTCTCCACCCGACTTGGCCTATCACATCCCAAGCTTCTGCATGTGCAGCTCGGTCATCTGCGGGAAGAGATTCACACTCTGGCGCACCAAAGGCGACACCAAAAAGACGATGAAGCCTGGGATTTCGACTGACAGCTGCCAGCTGCAGCCAAGACGAGGTTCGGGAAGCCAAACGGGACTCCTTTCGGCGTCGGGACCCTTTTTTCTCCGAACCTGCCTGCCCTCAATGTTTCAGTTGAAATCTTTGCTTGGGGCAAAAAGACTTTCTTCTGTACGAGTATGGGTGAGTCATTCCTTCCTTGGGCTACCCCCCTGTGTACTGGAAGCCGACCAGAATCAAGAAAGGGATCTCAAGGGTACTGAACCGCTGGGCATTTGGCCATTGGTTGAGCGTTGGTTGGGCACACAAGAGTTCTGCCTCCCAACGCACGTACCCAAATTCTGCCACCATCTGCCACAATTTCTGGGGCTGGTCAATCTTCAGGAAACTTCCTCCGAAGAAATGGAAGGCACCACTGGAGGCCTGGGATGATGAATTCACCCCTGGTCCATGGATTTTCCTGGCAGCCCCCGGTCCTCAAACCCAACTTCCCAACCATCTCCCTCAGACTAACATGGAAGCTCCCAGAAGGCGTCTGTAAATGGAACCAAGTCTTCCAAACAGGTCCTGGGAGCTTCCATGTTAGCCTGGGGGAGGGTACTCGGGTGCTGAACTCATGGAGGCAGAATGATTCTCTCTCTTCCCAATCTCTATCGCCTGCACTTCATGTTGGATGCGCACGTTCAATCGCGAGCGGAAAGGGAGGTGGGATGACCTTCCCTCATTCGCCTCCATGTCAAGAAGTTTACAAATATCCATGTAAAACCAATAATTATTGACCATTGCTGAGGGCAATTTCTCACACCTATCCACTTCCGAGCCTATCAATCGCCAACAGTGTTACATGATTGTTCCTTCATCGCTTGTTACAGGATTCATCATTGGCTGTTGGACTGGAATGAATACAAAGACAATTTACTAAAGCATTATCAGTGATGTTGCTTCTTCTGAGTCGGGCATGTCTTTCGTCCATGCCCTTTCGGCTTCCTTTGGAGAAAGCACGGGATATTTTGCAGCCAGAGCAGAACTTGCATTGGTGCAGTCCTGAAACCAAACTTGCCGATAGGTAAACAGAAGGTCCGGAGCTGCTCTTCCAATCCCTTTTTGCTTTCCTTTGAAACTCAGGAACCGGAGCTGCGCTTCCCATTTTTGGGGCTGCCCACGTTCAGGGAAGAAACCACTAAGAAGGGATCAGGATGGAATTCACTGAGCAGCTGGGACAACGGAACAAGATAATGACCCATAAACCATCCCTTGTGGCTTCCATTAAAGGGATCTCCCAGGTCATTCCGAAAACCCCAAGGGAATATCTGCTGCGAACCTTTGCCAATCAGTCCCCGGTCCCCTGAGGCAACCAAGGGAGGTGCAACAGCGAGTAGCTTCAAAAGGCTGCAAGCTTACTCTTCCCAAACAATGGTATGGTATCAAGGAACTGTGTTATGCTGCACCCCCACTTAAAATGAACAGAACACAAAACAGAAACACATGCAAAGAACTGTAAATCTGTGACCTCTATCGCTTTTGGCCCAGTGGCCGTGCTGGGACCCGGGTCTGTTGACCTTGTCCCGGTCGTTGAGCATGCCCACCGGCAGCCCTGCAGCCTTCTCCGCGTCCTGGGCGGGGTCGCAATGAACACCGGGTAGTAGAGCAGGCTCCATACGGTAGGTGGATGGCCCCAAGCATTTTGCAAGTAAACCATGCTCAACCACAAAACCATGGACAATGACTGCAAGTTTGACCGGCTCCTTGACAAAAGAAACCGAACAGGTGATATTCACAACCACCCTTTGGGCAATATAAATCACCTTGAAAAAGTGGTTGACCATGAGCGACCTCCCACGGCGTTCCCACGAATTTAAGCTGGGAGTTTGCCTTAGCCTTCATCCGCTCAGGTTGTGATTGTGGCCCAGGTGGGCAGTTCCAAGTAATACATGAGCCTCAATCATTACACACGTTGTCCTTCGATCATGCCTTGATGTGGTTTAATAGTACCCCCCCCCCAATCTAATCATTCCGGCCCTTTTCACTAGGGGGATTTCTGGGCGTTATCCATGATGGCGGGGGTGGGGGGGGGGTGCCTAGGACGCGTAGGGCCTTTTGTTCCCTGATAAACACAATGGGTCCAAAAATAAGCCCATATGTGTCCACACAAGGCCTTTGGCCCAGTTGAAAGGATGCGAAACCTTTCTTTGGATTGAATATTTTGTGTAGGTGCCAAAACCAGCGAACACAAAGGTGTTTAGAGGTGTTATTGAATAATTGCTTAGGTTGTTGTTGTTTTTTTCAAAAAGGGGTTGTAGCTCAACTAGCCAGCTGCTCTTGATGCTGTATTATGGGGGGCTGCAAAAATCCAAGGCCAAGTCTGGCGATTTCAAGAGCATGTTCTGATATACGTTTGGGAGGTATGAAGGTATGAATGTTTTAACCCCTCCTATTCCGGCTCCATACTGCCTTCCCAAATCAATGCTTGTGTTCTGATATTCAGCCCCAAACACACATGACTCACACATTCCTTTGACCTTTGGTTCCCACGGTGGCTTTGTGCTCTCGGCCCAGCGTCCCCCTGCTGGAAGAACTCGTCAAGGACCCGCCACGCCCACGCACGGCAGGTGTCGAAGGGCTTGAGAGGGTTTGACACGTCCTTGCGCGTCTCAACCGGCGGCACGCTTTCAGGGGCAGTGTTTCGCACAGGGCTTCACATGCTGGTTGCAAACAGCAGCGTGTAAGCCATGCTTGACCCAGAGAGCACCATCTAAGCATGCTGGTAGGAAGTAATCCTTTCTGTAAACACCAAAGTGGGATTCCCGTCATGACGACAGTTTCTTTGCAGGGGCCCCTCGGCGTCACAAAGGTCCTGGCCCACAACCACGAATCGACGCGCCAAGTTTCAGGGACACCAGGTTGAAAGGGGATGGCACCGTTGCTTTTCTTTCCAAGGAGGACACTAACACCTAATAATGGGGACGTTGTGCCATGTGCTTTCACCGATGCCTCCAAAACCCAGGCAATCTGCGTACCCCTCGTATCCTAGCAAAGTACATTGTAACCTGCGAAAAAAAAGGGTCGAAGTCATGATTTCCTTTGTACCCACAAGCGGCAGGTCCACACCCAGGCTTCCCATGTGCCCCCTTCAAAACATCACCCCTACCAAGGGAAACCCAGAGGTAATGCTTAAACCACAAAAATCCATATAACCATATAAGGACCTCACGGAATCATGGCCAGTTCAATGCTAAGCCGTGCGCTGCCAAGTGCAGGAACAGCTCCAGCCAGAGAAGCCTCAAGAGACACGAACGGAAGCGCAACGCAGGAGTGGACCAAATGTGAACAAATCTAGTGGCTCCAATTGGTCTTGTTTCAACCGTTTGTTTCTAGACATCAACTGGCAATGTCTACCTCTGAAATAGGTCCCCGCCCGCTCTGTTTGCCCCAGGTAAAGTTAAGAAAGGATTTTCAGTGGAATATTAGTTTAGTATTGGGCCAATTCTAAATTAGTATTGGGCATTCTTTTGGGAGAGGGAACTGTGTTTTGGAATTTATTTTAGTATTGGCTTAATTCTAAGTTAGCATCGCACATTTTCGGGAGGAACTTAGTCTCGGGTGAATGCTAATTCAGTATGGCGCATTTTTTGGGAGGGATTGTGACTTTGTTTTAGGGGAATGCTAATTAGTATTCGGCAAATACCAAATCAAAAACTTTTGCATGAATTTTATGAGGGAGTGCATGAATAAGATAGACTAGAGGGATTGGGAATTTTGGGGAATCAGCTTAGTTTTTTTACGGTCTGGTATTTATTTGGTGCATGCGGCTTCAGGGAGTAGCCTGGTTGCCAGGGTCAAGGGGTGACGTTTGAAGGATTTGTCCTAGTTAATTTAGTGAAGGGACATTTCCCAAGACCGGTTTCTAGATTGCTTGCTTCAGCAGTTCAAATAATGTTCAAATAAACAGTCTCCCTATCAGTTGAGCCCGAGGAAAATCGACAAGTGCATTTGCCTTGTTGGGGCATCCCCTCGCCAAAACAAACCAAGGGGGAACTGTACTGGCTGCAAGGGGCAAAATCTCGACATAGCAAAAGGGGTCAAGGCTAGACCAAAGGAAAAGGTTACCTCATGGTTTGAAACCTAGCAAACGTGATATCTTTGTTCTGACCCTTCAAGGAAAGAAAGGAAGCACTGGATGCCTGGGGAGGCGTCCACCTGAATGAAGTAAGGTTGACCCCATTTATAACCCCGTCCTACTATGTCCTACTGCTAGGGGGTGCCTCCAAACGTCATGAATCCCCACAAGTATGAAAGGGACCTTCAGGGGTGAACTCGTACCGAACAAATTTCCACCGGGGTGTCGTCTGCCGAAGCCACCGGTTGGCTTCCAGGATCTTATCCCGGTAGTCCGAGCGCATGCCGGCTTTGGTTCCTTGCGGCCATGGCAGCGCTCCAAAAAGGCGAACGCATTGACGAGGCCGGGAGCGAGTTCCCCCACGGGGAAGAGGGAAAAGTGATCTGACATGGCCTGCGGTTCTCGAATCCTTGTCCTCTGAGTGCCCTACTCTGATCTGACATGGCCCAAGCAATGCAATGAGCTCACTGATTCGAGGCGGGGTGGGATGAAGGGGGTAAAGCAAGCAAGAGGCGCAGGATAAAGCTTCAGTGATCCCCTATTGCCAGCTTCACCAAAGCGTGTAAACCTTTTTTGGTTTGCTACTAAGATGGTCTTGGGGGAGGATATTGACTGTGACATACAGCAATTTGCGCACTGGACGCGAAGAATTGTCTGGGCTCAGGGATGTTCGGGGGGAGGCTTGGATGGGTCCTGCTATTGTCTGGAAAAACTAGCAACAGGAAATGCCACACGAAGTTAGCTGCATAGACCACGCCAAAACTTCAGGCCAGCTTCCTGTAGAGTTTCCAGTGGCTGGTTCCTTGAATGGGCTTCAAAGACAACCCTGACACCAAGCCAATAGCTCAATACCAACCCGAGCTCTCAGTCAGCCAGCTCCGCTGTTTCGCCCCCAAAAAACAAGCCATCCAACGGGGTGGCTCTCATTAAGCTTCACAAGGCAAGAGGAACCCTTTGGCCAAACTTTCCTGTGACGTGTCTTGTTCCTTGTTTTGGAGCGGCGGAGCAAGCCTGGCAAAACAAGTCTGCTTGGGCTTTCTCCCGGTGCTAGGGACCCCAGCTAAAAGGAAAACAGCTGCATCCGGCCCCGACTCCGAAGTATGTCCTGCTTGGTCCTCGCAGCACTTTTCCTCGGCGAAACACTTTCAACCCCTCTAGGTTGGCTTCCATTTGGAACAATATACAGGCATGTGCCAAATAAGGATTTGCTTCCTTGTGGCCTCCCTTTCAACCAGCCTCAGAAGGGGTACCCTCAAAAAATTGGCACACAAGTTTCAAGGGTTTTGAGACTGCGCCCCGTGATCCCCCTAAATGTCAGGGATGGTTTGGAAGTCCCCTTCCCTGAAAGCCAGAACAGGATGCCCTTTGGCCATGAACCGAGTTGACCATCGCTTCTCTGATTTCAGACTCACACACCGCGTGCTTGAAACAACAGGCTGCTGCAAGTGCCATGTTGGGCCAAAATTTCCACCTGCACGATCCCGGGTTCCGGGAATTGTCGCAGTCCCACTTCTACATAAAATCTTGATTTTTTTGGGGGGGGAACTATGGTGAAGAAGGCCCCCTTAGGAGAATTCTCAAGGTATCTTCCTTGAGCTGATGTTGAGTGTGCAACTTGCTCAGCAAATGTGGTTCAAGTGCCCTATCGGCCATGCCACTTGGAGAAAGTGCATAAATCATGGCCTCAATCATGCTGGACTAAAAGATGAGCCACCCATATACTTCTTGCAACCCAAGAAAAGGGTTGGTACCTGGTTCCGAATTTATTGATATTTCTGGCACATCTCCAGGGCAGTTTGCCTTGAGGTCGCTGCAATTTGCCAAGATAAAGAAGTGTGACTCAACATTGGGCAACCCTACAGAGGGTTGCTTCCTTGGCGTTCACAGAAAGGCTCCTCTCAAACAGCCACACAGCGAAATGGCGCAGCCGAGGTCAAGGCTAGGTGAAAAAGGCTGCCCACGCTTGAAACTTTTAGGTAGTCCGACCCTCAAGCCAAGAGCTTGTGTTTTTGGACTGAAGTTGAGCACTCCCCCTTCCAAGTTAATCTCTAGGAGGCTCTATCTCAAATTCAGGCGGACCCCCAAGGGAGTCGGTTTCCATGCGACTTTACAAACGGGATGCTGAACCAATTTTGGGCACTCATCCGAAACGCGGCCCCCAGTTTTGACACATCTTTTGCTCCAGCTGAAACTGCAAAAAAGCCACCAGAACGCGTGTACCGACCATCCCCCACGTAGCGACTATCTATCTGTCTGTCTGCCTGTCCGTATGTATAGATAGTTTATATGCATGCATATTAGATGTATCTGGGGTATGTGGGTGCTTCCCAACATGGGTAACTCCTTCTTTCATCCTCATCCTCATCCTCATCCTCATCCTCATCCTCCTCCTCGTCAGCATCGTCATCATCGTCATCCCAAACCCGATCTCAGGAAAACCGCACGCAGTTGAGTGCTTCGTTGGGGTCGGAAGGCGCTTCTCTAAGAAAGCCTTCCGGTGCGGGTGCCATGCCCCAAATTGACACGGCAAGGCCTAGGCTCGTGGGCCTCGTAGACTTGGCTAATATCTTTGATCATCTCGAAGTGGTTGGCATTGTCCGTGTGCAGGATCGCGGCCACGGCCACCTTCCGGGCCTCCTTGTACAACTCCTCAGATCTTCCCAGAGCCCCTGGGAAAAGATCTCGGGTTCCTTCAAAGGTACAGGTACATCCAACTACCTGCTTTACCTGAGAGGCCACCTGAGTCGTTGCCTTTAGCCAGCTCAAATGTATCTTTTAAGGGGCCTTGAAAAACGGGCACTGTATGGCACTATGTCCGTAGTTGGCTTAGGGAACCCAAGGGACACAGGACGATTGGGAATTAGACGGCGGAAGCAAACAACTGTTTGACAAAAGGGAATATTAGATTCGAAAGCTGTTTCAGAAGCCGACAAATCACCCGATCATCCCAATCCTTGCAAAACAGGTGGCTCTTGTGATGCATCCTGCAAGGAACCGTGTTTGGTGATACCTTGAAGCGTTTGTTTAGGAACCCACTATATAGCTTGTTGCTCCGTGTACCCAGGAGAAGCCAAATAAACTGGCCGCTGCAACCAGCAGATTAGAATCGGATTTCTCAGTTCAAGTCAAAAGGCGCTTCAGTGGCGCCGCGAAACATGAATGGCAGGACAGTGGCATGTCTTGCCGGAAAGCCTCCAGCACTCAATTGCCTTCAATTTCCGGACACGGGAGCTCATCGACTCTTGGGAGCCCCTCCCTAGCCTGGCCACAAAAAGGAGGTACACACCAAATCATTGGAGAAGATCCCAGGAAAAAGAGAAGAGCCAATTTCACTATTTCAGACATTGCCTTTCTTACGAGACAAAGAGGCCCAGGTAGATACTTGAAGAGCCCCTTACACCCCTGCAAGTTGTAGCTTGCGAGCTGTTGGCAAACCAGGGAACCGTCAGGTGCTGTGAACTTCTGCCCCTTTTCTGTTGGCCTCTTTCATCATCACCGTCTGTTTGATTGTTGTTTGTTTGTTTGTTTGTTTGTTTGTTTGTTTGTTTGTTTGTTTGTGTGTTTGTTTGTTGGCAGCAACGCGTTTTCCGGACGAGTCGACTTCTCATCGAGTGGCCGGTGAGGCTTTGCCAAAGGCGTTTGTCTTCTCATCCGTGCAAAGCGTGAACCTCGGCACATGATTCAGAGCCAATACAAGGGGTGTCTCACAAAATAAGCGAACCCAGACAAAACCATGCAAAAGGGGGTCCACCACCAAGGAAATTCCAGAAAAAAACCAGTGGAAGATGGTAACACTTGTCCTTGGTGATACCCCCCCCGCCTTGAAAAGTCCATGATAGAATCTAACAGTGACCAATAGTAACTAATAGGCACTAGGCTGCAATGGCTGTTGCAATGGCTCTGAATCAAATGGTAGAGGGAGATCCCCACCCAAAAAAAGCACCACTGCAGCTCTGGGGTTACCCGTGAAACAAATTCCAATCCAAATTTCTACCCTGGGTCAGAAAATGGCAACCCTAAAACACCGCAAGTTTAACAGCTTGAGGTTGGGTCATCGTTTTCAGCCAGCTTTATGCAGGTGGCCGTACACACGGTTCCCTGCCATGCTTTCCTTCAGGGCGCCTTGGTAGCATAGAAAAGAGGAAGGGCGCTGGCGGTCCAGGGCAATTCAAGATGTGCACGCTTGAAATTGAAGGAACTGCGCCTGCCAGCGCATCGTACTGAAACACGTTCTTTTGATACACCTGCATGCCAACCCTTCAAAACCATTGGCCCCAGTGTGAAAGGCAGGTGGTTCTTGGAAATGCTGGCCAGTCGGGTGCGTCCCGGGCAAAGCTCCCCTAGCCAACATGTTGGTTCGCTGCCCATGCGTCTCACTCTTTTCAACCACAACATGAAGCTGCTTAGTTCTATCCTTTCAACGGACAGGAACTTAGGAACTGCCTGGGCAAACTCCGGTTCCTTTTAAAGGTCTGGGTAGCACAACATGGGCCTTTGTTCGTGAGCCCTAAATCCTCTTACCTACCAAGCAAACATGGCATGAAAAGGATGCTGCTTCCCATTGGTGTTAAATTCCAGTGACAGCTAGGCACCAAGCCATGTCAAGGGCATCATTACATTTCTGCCTTGAAAGGTAGCCTTTCTGGTTTGTTTTTGAATAAACATAATCCGCAAGAACATTCCGCTGGGGGGCTATTCTGAGACGCATCCAAAGGCTACGGCTTTCAGCTACGAGCAAAAAATGCTATTCAATCAAGGGCTGTTGCCATGTGCCCAAGGGCACACCCCGAATCGCAAACCCCAAACTAAACGACCCGAGTACACCCAAACGCGAAAGTCCTTGCATTTTCGTGTTTTTCTTGAAAGTCCGCAGCCTGCCAGTAAAAACAACGCAACGAGTAGTCCCGGCAGGGTCCTTGCAACTGAGCCTTCCCCACTGGCACACGGCGCCCAAGTGTCTCCTAAAACTGCTTTGTTTGAGTACCACTACGGACGCAATCCCCATGGCACATCGCATGTTACAAGGCACTTAAACGCATTTTAAGCATACACGTTTAAGTACGAGTAAGAAGGCAATCCCCATGGCACACCGCATACCAGTTGGGACCAAGATTTTGCTTGACGATGTGTGTTTGCACGCCAAAAAGAAGGCAATCCCCATGGCACATCGCATGCTCAACAACATCGAAACAAGTCTTGCAAAAACAAGTTCGTGTGCTAGTACGAAGGCAATCCCCATGGCACATGCATACCCAAAGGCAACCAAACACATCTCAAAGACATCTTTTCGAAGCACAAAAATGAAGGCAACCCCCATGGCACATTGCATAATCAACCGCAATGTGTCTCCTAAAACTGTTTTTGGCAAGTTTACCCAGGAAAAAAACGAGTCCAAAAACGAGTCTAAAACGAGTCCGAAAAGAAAGAAAACGTGCAGCCGCAACCCACCTAGGCCTCAGCCTGAAAAGCAGGCCGTTGAAACCAATTGATGTGTTAAGCAGACTGTCGGCCTTAGCCTAATACGTATTACAAGCACTTGTTGAAGATACGTGTTTTTCAAGCGTGTGCCAATGCGATTGGCCTCCCAAAGCCCCAGCTTCAACAATGCAAGCTGTTCTAGGAATCTTGTTGCGGATGACTGCGTGTGCCAACGCGCTTGGCCTTCCAAAGCCCCAGCTTCAACAACGCAAGCTGTTCTAGGAATTTTGTTGAGGATGATTGATTGTGCCAATGCGATTGGCCTCGCAAAGCCCCAGCTTCAACAACGCAAGCTGTTCTAGGAATCTTGTTGAGGATGACTGCGTGTGCCAATGCGATTCATGTGTTAGTTGACTGAACCTTCTCATTATCTTGGCCAGAGGCAGTGTGCCATTGCGTTTTGTGATGGGAGTGGGCCTCAACATTCAACAGCGCACCTTCGCCAAACACTCCTCAAAGTATCCGGCCCCCCATGGCACACCAGACACTTGGCTTTGCGTACAGTGGGGGGCTGGGGTAGCACTTGCGTCGCCAGCAACATCTAAGCCTGCAACTTCTATCACCTCGAATCCTACTGGCACACAGCTGAACAACACAAGGAACCAGACTCCCATGTGTTAGTTGACTGAATCTTCTCATTATCTTGGCCGGAGGCAGTGTGCCATTGCGTTTTGTGACGGGAGTGGGCCTCAACGTGCAACAGCGCCCCTTCACCAAACACTCCTCAAAGTATCCGGTCCCCCATGGCACACCAGACACTTGGCTTTGTGTACGGTGGGGGGCTGGGGTAGCACTTGCATCGTCAGCAACATCTAAGTGAAACGAGTGTACCCATGCGATTTGATTCAAAATGGCTTCATGCCACACATCATAAAAGACAGCATGATCATGACCCTAAATAGCTTTCCCCACTGGCACACTGCTTGCGGCGAGAGATCATGGCTTGCGGGGCGTGTAACCACAAGGACCCAGTAAGTGCTTTTTCAGGCGTGTGCCAATGCGATTGGCCACCCAAAATGCCTCAACATCACCAACACAAACCGCGATCGAGGGAAGGTGTTTTCCATGTGTGCCAGTGCGTTCGGCCTACCCAAAAGACCTCAACTTGATCAATGAAACCATCTCAGGGGACCACGTTCAGCATGTATTTCTCTACAAAAAAGACCTCAATATCACGCAGCAATTGTCTCTTGAAAACATGCTAAACCAAACGCCACTGGCACACAGAGTTGCAACGACCCTACCGGATGCGTTTCGTGTGCGTATTACACGAAAAACATGCTGCCAAAACCAAACGCAACGACTTTCACAGGTGAGAGTATGCGGTACTTCATTGTTCAGCCAAGAAAATAGGTGCTAAATAAGGGTCTCGCAAACTGTTCAAACCGCCCATCGCCTATTTTGGCTTCCCTTCGGAAATCATCAAATACTGTGGGCAATTGAGCACCCTGGAATGCCGGGGCTTTCCGATTTGATTCGCTCCCTATTTCGCAGTTTCGGTCCAGCGGCAGCCTGGCGCAGTGCATGTTTTCCAAGGGTGACTTGTCATTGTAGGTGATCGCCAGCGTATCCTTGGACTCCACCAGGAAGGGGTTCGTCCTGTCCCGGACCGGACGCGTTTGCTTTTGTTGAGCCTCGGTGCCTTTCTTGGCGTGGGTTCGACGGGAAATCAATAAGAAACAATCTTTACACGTACCCAGATCTGCTGGAGGCTTCAAAAGTGCTCCCACGAGATGTTGCGGCTGAAACCCAATGGTGGAAAGCCGGGCCGTCGGGAGATGCTACACAAACTGGGCCGACCAAGGTGCTGAAAAACCAAAGTGCGCCCTTGATCGGGAGATGCCACTTGCATGGCCTGCAATGTGTGGTTCTTCCCAATCGGGGAAACCAAGGACCCCAAATCCAGAACCCAAGGCAGGGCAGGAAAGCCTTGCTTTCCCTTGCGTGGGTGTCAGCCCTTTGCAACCTTTGGTACGTTAGCAAAAAAAGGCATTCTTTGGAACCCGCCTACTTGCTACAAACGACTGGAACCAACAAAAAGACCGGTTTAAGTGAGGCACTCTCAAGCGGCTAAAACAAGAAATCCGGGTACAATTGTGCGTTTAAACACGTTGCAAGTAGTACAACCGTTGCTTGCTACAACATAATTGAACCAACTATGTAGTTGAGGGTGCCACGGGCAGTCAATACATCTGTTTGGATTGGGCACTCAAGGGCATACAAGATTGATTGCCCAATCATGGCAAGAACACTAAGGAGAGGCGAGGCCTCAGCCGGAAATTTCAAGGGGTGCAAAAATTCTTACATGCCCCCCCCACACCGCCAAATCATGAATTGAGGCGACCCTTGGCAGCTTCCTTCAGAATGCGCACTCCTTCCCTACAAATCAACATGGCACCAAGAAAGCATTTGTATAGGAACCCCCCTTTGCAGGACCCACCTGAGTTCCATGTTTGTTTGCAGGGGGTATGCACTTGACTTGGCAAACATGCAACGAATGGGATGTATGCTTTTGCATTAAAGGGCAAAGATGTAAGATACCAGTTCGTTTTGCTGTGCCATTGTGATATGCGTTTCAGGGTGGTCGTTTTGAGGCGTCTTGCTTGGTGTGCAAGCGTTTGCTCCCCTGCTTGTCTCACTTTCGCTTGTGCATTTGTGTTTGACTATCTGTTGAGCTGTCAGTATCTGTCCGCTGGGCTACTCCGTGGTGTGCAGACCGAGGGAACGGTTCACTAAAACAGTCAGCAAACACACATATATATATATATATAGCACCCAACTGCGTCCCCACTCCCCCCAAAGACGCCTTCCCTCGTGGCCCATGTCATGGCAAAGGGCGGAGATCAGCAAGGCGTACCTTGGCTCGTTCCGCATCACTCAGCCCGGTGAATTTCTGTAGGAAAGCGAACCTTTTGCTTGTTGAGTTCAAGAAGGGCCATAGAAGGCGCCCCATGGTCCCCTGCCCTCTGCCATGTTTCTTCAACAAATTGCTGAGTTAGGGAAGCCCGTCCCACGAGAAATGAAAAACGGATGAAGGGTGCTATCCGTTGAAGCAGTCGCCTTGGACCGTGCCAGCATCCATTAACAGTAGATGAGATGCTGGAACCGCCGCTAAATCAGTTCCAAACAAGAAAACTGTGCGGTGGTCGTGATCCCAGTGTTCTGCCCTTTGTTGGGGCTCAAGGGATGCATTTAAAGTACACGCCGTCCTCGAAATCAGCGTTTAACAAGCTATCTGCCAACTGGCCCAAATGCATCCTTTAAGTGACCCTGTGAAAATACGTTTGGGAAACCAGGAATGCCATGTGAAGCAACTTGACTGCTGGTGCCAGGCGAATCCAATTTGCTAATCTGAAAAGGATGTACAAATCCCGGGTTTCTGCTCTTCGCCATTTGAAATGGCGAAGCGTTCATGGACTCATTCTACGGGCCCCTGACGCAATTGGAGACCTTTCTGGACCCCAATGTTGGCAAAGCCGAGCAAATAGCAAGGCTCCTAATGGAAACCTCGCCTTGTTCCAGTGCAAAGGGGCTGGTCCACCTTGCGCATCCAGAGCCTGCCGTTGGTGAGGCCGCAAAACCGGAAGACGGTGTGCAACACATCGCAGGCGTGGGCGAAGCAGTGGTAGGGCACCTCCTTGTATTGCCTGGGCCCAACACTCAAAGAACTCTGGCAGCTTCCAGAAAGGGGGTTTATGTGTCACTTGTTTGAGATGAGTCCATCTCAATCCAGTTGGTGACCCGAAGCTTTCTTGAAAGAAAGGGAGGACACCAGTGGAATGGTTCTTGCCTGGTAGCCTTGGGGTTCATCTGAATGGGCACCAAAAGTGCCAGGAAAGGTTCAATGTTCAAGGGACTGGGGGAGGGTGCATTGATCCGAGAACCCTCCTGGCAGCAGGTCGGATCAACATTTTTGAGAGAAGATACCCGGAACACATAAAGGACTCTCTACTTGGCCGCCCCGCTTCTTGGATTTGGATTGGGTAGTGACTCGTGACTTCTGTGCGACTTGCTTGCTTGCTTCTCTCAACGTGGGTGAAGGCCAACATGGCTCATCTTCCCAGACTGAGCTCCCTTACCCTTGCCCCAATCGGTTTCCATGTTTCAAGTAAACCCCCTCAAGCGGGCAAAAGGGAACATCCCCAAACTTATGGCTGTTGACAACCACACAAGTCCAAATAATCACCCCAGACTTAGCAAAAGTAAGCCAACCTTTGGGGACTGCGACTGTGCAAGTTGCCGTTGGGGAAAAAACTGGCCACCTTCAAACTTTCACCACTGTAGTTTCCTAACCGACCAAGTGTCCTGTTTCCCCACCCTGTTGTTTGTTGAGCAAACTGGGTGCAGCAGAGTGCCTGTAACATTGTTAGTGACTCGTGTCCCGCGGATTCCCGAAATACGATAGGCTAACAAAAATACAACATGTTCCTATGATCGTAACTCGATTTGGTTTAAGCTACCTCCATCTAGTTTTTTCAGGCCGTTGTATGAACCACGTGGAACCCAACAAGGGCCTCCCCCTAGAAGGAGATTGCTCCAACAAAGAAGGCTTGTGGTGAGATCGTTCATTTTACCCGGATTGTTGGGTTCCGTTATGCCAGGGTAGAACTAGATTGCACATTTCCTTTGTGGGCCAGCAAAGGGGACTAAACCGAAATGGGAAAATTGAACTCGCCAACCATTTTCACCCATCTGTGGGCGCTTCTCGTCGGTACCCGTGTCGTGTTGTTTTTATGTCCGAGGCACGGCTTTACTGCGTCGAAGAAGGACTTGAAGATGGCGTCCTCGTGGTTGCAGCAAGGTCCGAGGAAGGGTACGGGATGGGCCAATTGCTGGTGTAAACCTTGCTCAACTCCTTTTGCCTGAAAAGGGCCAAGGAGAGCTTGTTTTAAACAACATGTGCCTCACCCCTCCTGCTGGCCATTGCTGAAACAAAACATGCGAGGACACACACAGCCCTTGGCTCGATGTAGCGGGGTTCGACCTCAATTGTAGAAACCCGTCGAAACTCACAACATCTCACAACCCCATTGTAATCAAGCCTTGACAGGCAAATGGAATTCATTCAAGGGATCTCCAGGTATGGCTTTTGGAGGTACGGATGCCTGCCTAACACGAGCTCAGGCTCGTAACGCAGCATGTACCCCTCAAGTGGTATGTAATTTTCATGCCTCCAAAACCCATTCCTGAAACTCCCCCCCGCCCCCCTCCGCCCCATTTGCTTTGGCATCCTCGCAGAACTCACTGGCCACACCGAACTCTGAGTCGAAGAAAATGTGCCTCGGGCGCATTTAGGAGATTCTCTGATGCGCTTGGCAAGGGAAATGGAGAATCACTTTGGCACCTGTGACACATAGCCATATTTCCCATGTCAGAGGCATCACCAAGAGTAAACTGACCTAAAAACAGCCCAACTGATGTTTAAGCTAGGGGAGGTAGGCCCTGTCAAAGGCACGCAAATCTCTCACTCGGGACGGTGTTTAAGGAAGCTTTCCTTCGGCTTAAGCCTGGCGCCTTTCGGTGAGGGATATGGGGCCAGAATGTCCCTGAAAAACTCGCTGGATGTTGAATGTGCTCTTGTGGGTTTAGCATGGTTTAGCTGTTCCTGGCATCCAGCGCAAGGAAAAGGTACATGACCATACGCCTTCAGTCCGCCCAAACTGGGTTTCTCAAAGTGCCCTCTTTCACGTACGCATGGCACCTCATACGGGCTTGCTCTTAAGCGCAGGTAAGGACAACCGCTGTGCGGCTCCCAAAATACTCTCTCCCTCGGGAAGATTCGTGCTAGCCATTCCCAATGCTGTCACTTTGATGGGCCTTCAGGCCCGCTTTGGCCTTTGGGCCCGAGACACTTCCTGCCCAATGGGGAACTTGTTAATTTACTTTGTCCAATACTGATGTAGTGCTCCTGAATCGCCTTTGATAGTGACGATGAGTAACTAGGTTGCCATGGCCTCCCTTGCCATGGCTCTGAACGAGCATATCGGCATTAATTTTGCACCAGCTTGGTGCGCTTTAGGTCATTTATTTAGGTGGGGGCTCATGGTTCTCATGTACAAATCGCATGACTTGGAAGCATCTTCCTGCTGAGCGGCATGGCCATACGTTCTAAGCCGGCTTCGTCCTGGTCCAGCGTATTGAACTCCTCGGATGCCCGAGGGTGCGTTGCATACCCTCATTGACGGGTGGGACGGTGGGACCCACAACTGACTGGGCGCCAGGGGGACGAACAATTGAATCGTCCATCCCGTTTCCGTTTCCTTCAGATATTTGGAGTCATATTTAGGCAGTTGGTCTACTACTTCAAATCCAGAACAGGTCCCTTTGTCATCCTTCGCCTTGGGACACATTTGGACCTCCAAGCCTTGCAACACCAAACCCCCAACACCTTCTAAGGGACAAAGCTCTCAGGTTGGCCGACAGCAAGTCGGAGCTGTTTTTGTTTGAACATGGATTTCCAAACAGTCAAAGGTCCAAACTGAAAAACTTGTTGGAGTCACTGAACCCATTAACCCAGACCCATGGGAAGAGGCATGGTGTTTGGGCAATTTCGCCTGCAAAAAGGCCCACCACCGGCATTCAAACCGATGTCGCGAGTATGACCTTGTGCTGGGAACCAATTTGTCAAAGGCGGGAGTGGCCCCCTAACACTGATTTAGATTTGGAAGCCAACCAGCATCATCCCCTCATAGTGCAAGCAACCATGGGTCTTCACCAGGACTAGAAGACAAAAGCGCATCGAAGATGCCAGATGCGAAAATTCGGGTATTAGATAGAACACCAGCAGCAAGGAAGATAAAGAAGACCGCCGGCCAGAGCCCAGCCCACCCACCTGAACCCTTTCTGGGGTACCCCGAATGAGTCCACCAAAAAGTGTTTGGAAAAAGACGCTCGCACCCCACTGGCCTGGGGTTTTGTGAAAGGACCCGGTCCGAGGCGCCCATGTCTGGAGCTTGGACTCCATGTCCTCAGAAAAAGAAAAATCGGATGCCCAAGGCACGGTACCCCCACTTCAACCCCAAACCATTCTCAAGTGTTGGGAATACCCGTGTCATGGCCTAAAGGGACACCAAGGGACACAGACCACCTGGGGTTCCCTTCTGAGATAAAGGCGACATGTCTTGGTCGATGTCCGGCCCTGAACCTAGGATTCAAATCTCCCCGTTCCCTCCCCTGTCTGGTGGTCCGAGACCTCCTGTGCCAGATGCAGCCTAAGACCGAAGCAACTCATTTTGGCTTACCAAGGCCTTCAGTTCCACAGAAATAGTTAACGGACAGGAACAAGCAACAACTTGATCAGAATTGGCCAAAGCTGGTGGTCCGCAGCAGTGAACCCTAGACATGTTGAAACAAAATCAGAAGAGACCCAGATAATCTCACCTGCGAACAGGACTTGGAAATAAAACGTTAACCTGGTGGGACCCTGACTAAGCAATGGGCCAACATAAGAGTACCAAAAGGTTTCGCAATTTAGGTCGACTTTGGGAGACTGAGACCATCTCACTTGCCCACATGACCAGGAAATAACGAGTGGGCGCCAGCAAGCGGGCCTTGGCTGCAAGTGGAGTGAGCTCACCCTGAAGACCCCATGTCGCCATGCAAAGGGCCCACACCCTTGAGGAAAAAAGGGCACTAGGCTAGAGGCCTGGGAGCCAGACCCATGAACGGCGCAATTTCTCGCCCGAGCACCAAAAGGAAACAAATCAGTCGACACGCCATTTCTGGAGATACCCCTGTCTAACCAGTGGACCGCAGTTCGTGTTTTGGGAAGACCGATGGATTCCACTGGTGAATGATTGGAATGCACTCGAAAGAGCCCAAACGCGAAGCACCCAAATATGTTCTTCACCCAAGGCACGCAGGGACACCGAATGTTACCTCAAAAGATCCGAAAGTCAGCGAACCCTCCAAATGCCTCATTCCCAGTTGCAGTAAATAATTCCATTTCGACCCAACCCCGGATGCTCGCGTACAGGCGTCCCGCTGCGGCCCACTCTGCGCCCAGTCGGGGGCTGTCAAATGCGTGCCCTGCGGGTCCGAGACCTGCGCATGGTCTGAGGGGGGAAACCCGGAAACTGCTTCTACCACCACCCCCCCCACCACCAGACACACCTTACTATTACGGTGGTTTTGCGGAACCACCACTTTGCAGGCCCCCTGCATCCTGCGCGGCGACAAGGCAGGGAACGCATGGCACAAGTCTCCGCGCGCCCACTTTGCGGCCGAAGGTGCGAACCCAAGGAGAGAAGAAACGGGAGCCCTACACAAATCTAGACAAATAAGCAAGCAAGCAGGCAAGTAGGCAAAGGAAAACAAACAAACAAACAACCAAACAAACAAACAAACAAACAAACAAGCAAACAAACAAACACGCAAACAAATAAGCAATGAACGCACAGACACACACGCCAACAAACCAATAAACCAAACAAACAAACAAACAAGCAAGCAAGCAAACAAACAAAGCACAGGACAGTCTGATATGGACTAGATAGTGCACGTTCAGTTTTTGTCTGGTTCTGGCCAGTCTTCTGACATTCTCGAAGTCACTCGCTGCACTTACCGCTTCCTACTGGCCTTCAAAAGGCCACATTCAGGTTGAGCAGTTGGGTGCCATCTCCGAACAAAGTGGCGGTTGGCAATGAACTGGCTCCAGCGGCCTTCTGGGCCCACGGATCCGAGGGCACGGCCATGTTTCATAGACTGCCGTTTTACCCAAGCAACTGGCCGCAGCCTCACTTGCCCTCGTTCCAAGGACAGGAGCCTGCCACAAAAGGAAAGTCATCTGTGAAATCCATCCATGACGTCGCAACCCCGCCCGGAATTTGAAGTGGCTATGAAGGTATGCCTCTCCTCAACCCAAAAAACACGCGCCGAAAAAACGACGAGCCCATGAATCCCATTTCCGAGGCCTCAGCGCCCAGGATCTCAACCAGCACCGCCTTCTCGTACCTGTGGAAACATGGGTATGCGCCTTCCCGTTCTCTGGGGTCCCATGCCCATTTTAAAGTACACAATATGGGACCCCATAGGGGCTACAAGGGCAACGCGGTAAGGAAAACGCGGGCAAATCAGTGGCCATGGCGAAGAATTGGATCAAACCCAGGGAAAATATGGGGCAGTTGCATTTCACTAGTTGTTTCTCCCAAAACAGCATCTGGATATTTCCTTCACATCGAGTTCCCCCTGGAAGGGACCATTCTCTGAGTGTTATGGCAACGTGGGGAAAGGGGTAGCCACCAGCCGCTTGATCAAGGGTATTACTTTCTCCCCACAAGAACTCAAGCAAAATCACTCATTTTTTATGAGTTGAGTTGGGTGACCCCCTGTCGGGTTCAGCGTGTGCCGGCACAAGGCACAAGTGGATCCCTTGATTGCCTGGAAGCGCTTGCCGGCAAAAAATTGCTTGTGAAAATCATGCAACCACACATCCTTCCTTTGACATTCCCAAGGGGCCTCTTGGGAAGCAAGAAGCTGGGCCAGTTGCCGGCGTTGCATCCCTCACGACGGACTCTAGAAGGCAACCAGGCTACAGCTTTCAGTGGGGCTGGGTTTCACAAACCAACAGTCTAGAACACCACAACCCCACCTGCCTGCTACAGTCGTCTTTTAGTGCAACGCACGGGTGGGTCTCATCGCATCCTGGCCCAATTTTTCTCCGCCGAGAGGCTCGCTCTTATTGGCCATCTCCTCCTTGCTGATGACATTCTTATTGAGGGCCTGGTGAGTGCGGTCGGACCGGGTTACAACCGCTGCAAGGGGAAGGTACTTTGCCAAGTCACATCAAATCCAGGGCAAGGATGAAACACTCAAACCTAAGCATCCTCCATGCAAGGATGCCGTTGTCACGTCCAAAAATGAGCCTCTTAAAATATCGGGCTACTATATCTTTAAGCCTCTAATTTCAGAATCGCCCTTGCCTACCAACAGTGCCCCGCCATGCTAACGGCCAAGCTCTGGGCGATATGTCAGCCTAAGGACAGAGAAGAAGCTGACTTTGAGAAATTTTCCACAGGTATGCCTGAGTCGACCAGAAACCAGCTCTTTCCCCTGGGTTCGTGGTGGGTGTGTGGAAAACAAGCCCAGAAACAACGGTGAAGAGTTACCCAGACACTGCCCAAATGTTCAGCACCAATCAGTCAAGCCAAAAGACCGTAAAAGGTTGGCCCTGGAAAGGGGCAACAAAAGGAACCACGGCCAATTCTCCGCCCAGCCGTGTTCTGATCATTGTTTCGAGGTTCGGCCCATGTTCCACAAAGCATCCCTAAGCACCGACCCTCCTGATTTGTGAGGATTCTTCGTGGTTCCCCCCACAGAACCTGCGAGGTTCGGAACCCACCCAGCACGGCAAAAACCCGGCCTGCTTGGCGATCCGCGCCAGCTTGTCCAGGGCGCGTTCCTTGAGCTGACGGGTGTCTAACGCTACGCGCTAACCAGGGAGTCTGGAAAACCATCTCATTTGTGTGTTGTGGGGGGATAAGCAAGACATGGACAAATTAGCACCCAGCAGACACAATACCTACAAACTTAACAGAGCATGGTTGTTTGATCGGCCACCAACAAAGCCATGAGGAGTTGTCTTCGAGGGAAAGGCCCCCGCGAAGATAAAGAGACAAAGGGAACCCCTTGCGGGTCTGGGTGTTGGAATGGACCTCACGTCGGCAGAAGCCAAGTGTCAATGAGCTCCAGCTCGGTGGATCGGGTCTCGTCGTCCTCGTCCGAATCCGAGGACTCTGCCGAGGAGCAAAGGTCCATCAAGGACTGCGCGTTCTTCAGCAGGCCGCTGAACATTTTCTCCTTGGTCAAGCGGTTCAAACCCCCCAAAGTTCGGCTAGCTGCAAAAGCAGGTCCATGCTTGCAGGGACGCCATGCTGAACTGGGACGCGCTTAAAGAATATCTTTGAAGGAAACGCCCCAGCTGCGCTCTTCACCCATCCCTTCAGCTCCTCGGCGCTCTTTTCGCCTCGAAGGCTCTACGCCAGTGCCTCGGCCGAGGCGCCAGCGGGCGCACCATCATGACATTGAGCACGCGGCCCAGGTCGAAGGTCATAAGTATCATGACGAGCACGATGACCACCACCAGCACCACCTCCATGATGGCCTCGTTTTTTTTGTTGCTCGCTTAACATGTTTCAGCCTTCGCACATGAAGGGGAACCCAATAAGCCAAAACACATGTTTGCCCCTACTTGGAGACAAACTCAATTGAAGGAACCAAAAAGTACACAAGCACTGCAGGGTTGTAACCAGCCAAAGCGAAGAACAGAGGAGGTAAGAAGCCCCCTAGCTTTAACACACAGCCGCCTTCAGCTGGTGTAAGGCGGGGATCCTGGGATCTCAGTTGAATGTTGAATAAGGTTCACGACATACTCAGTTGCCCAGTTTGGACCCAGAAACCACGGGTGATCACCTTTTGGGGCGACTGGAAATGGGGCATGGGAAAACCAAAGGGCGAAAAAGTTGATTCACTTTGGGCAAGTGAGAGTATGGTCCACATTGGCCAATAATTAAACATTCTACTTTTGGCTGAGGTAGTTCTCGGCCAGCATCGGCGTTTCCGTTTCCCGCAAGCGTCATGTGCAGAGTTCTCTCACCTGCGGCTGGTGCTGTAGATGTCGGAGGGGCTAGGCTTCATCCATGAAATTCCAGACGACACAACCAGCTGGAATGAATTGAGGTGCAACTCACTTTGCCTGTCACTCACGTATGACACCGGCATTCCTCGAGTCCCAACACCGTCCCGTTTTCGCGCGATGGAGATTCCCCAAGGCTAAACTCTCGGTTGGAACCCCGGCTGCGAACCATGAGGCCCGCCCCAGTCGTCAGGGCTCTTAACCACAATCCTTTTGAGCGGTCCAAGCCGAAGAGCGGTTTTGAAAGGGAATGTCCGCGGTCGAGCCCGCCCTCATCCATTTTCAAGTGAGGGATCTGTGCAAAGAACCTGGTGTTAATTGGACTTCTCCCACGGTCGCTTTACCAGGTAGCTGCCCCTTGACACGTTCTATATTCACGCTGACATGTCATAAGGACACTTTCCGAAGGTCTGCTGCGCTTCAGCTCGAAGGGTCAGATCTCCCGATCAACTTCGGGCACCGAACGCCCATTTGCGAAACACAACTCTAAGACTTGGAGGGTGGTTTTCTTGGCACCGCAGAAAAGAGGTCGTCTACAACCATAATATGAGTATGTGTCAATTGTGTAAAAATAATTAAATAGAGGGAGTTCCCATTCTGCTTCCGTTCAAGCCACCGAGCCGCAAACAAACAGGCGCAGCCATATTTGAGCTTGTCACAAAATAGGGGTGCCCTCAGGAATCGAGACACCCAAAGGTGGTTGTAAACTCTCTGATTGGGGTTCACTCGGTTTATAGCCCTATGTATAGGTCATCCATTGCCCACATTGAAAACGCTGTCCAAGGAGCGGAGATCTGGCTCGCGCCCGTGAAGTTAAAGAGGATTCCCGCCTGGATGAAAATGAACATCCGCAAGGAACGTGTCTTTTCCCGGCCCTGAACGGGGCTGAGTTATTCTTTTGAAATAAGGATCCTAGGGACTGGAATTGTGACATGATATATCCCAAAGCCACCTGCTTTGCAAGGATTTCGATCCTCTGCATCAGCTGGACACAATTTTGAAGTGGCCCAGATGCATCCTCTAACGCTGCTCAAAGGCTGCGTAATCTATGCCAGAAATAAATCACACATTGCCATGTGCGGTGAGGAGCCCAAAAGTCGTGTGGCTTGCCAAGAAACGCGGCACCACCCAAAAAACGTCGTTTGGGGTGCAGGACCTTTGGCAAATCTTCGGCCTCCAGGGAACTGACCAAGGGTTTTGACCAGCGCGGTCAGAACAATTGCATGTATCCGTAGGGTATATTCAACACACACATACAATTCGAGACTCACACACACACACACACATAGAAAGAAAGAAGCTGCGCAGCGCCCTTGTCGGTGTTTTGGCAACCCAACGGCCAAACTGTGAGCTTTGCACAAGCGGAGAAGTAGCAAACCCCAAGTAGCATCGAGAGTTGATCTGAAGGAAAACCTGCTTGAATCAGTTCGGCCCTTGACCAAACTTGGCAAAGGGTAGACGAGGATCTTGCAAAGGCCTGCAAACTCATATGAGCCACGGTCAGCAAGTATCGCTTTTTGCCAGGGGGCATGGGAAGCTATTAACTCCCCCGGTTTTCTGGGACATTTAGTGACTCCCACCTCTCAAATGGACCATGGAGTAGGACTGGGCATTTACTGCCAACAAACTTCTGCCTGGCAAAGACCCAGAGATTAAACTCTTTTGGCCGGTTACCTGAGGTCAGAAACTGGCTTGGACACTTTACCTGGGTCAGATTCACTAAATTCTGACCGAATTTGAGGAAACCCGAAATGGGTGGTTTCCCTTTGCAAGTTCCCTTTCAAACATGCATCTTCTCTTGGGATCACACTTACCGGCAGAAAAGACAATCCAAGTCGTCTCTAGGAACGTCCCCCACTATCCTCCAATTTACCCGCGGGTGCTAGGTTTGGGTTCATGCTGGTTTGACTCTCTCCTCCCAATTGCAGGGCACAGTTCAAACTTTGTTGAACCCCTGCTGAAAGTCGTTCCCATGGTGCCCCACAAGCGAGGTAAGGGCGGTCCCTATAATATTTACGCATCACCAATCCAATGGGAAACACTCAGATCAGATTTGCCTTGCGCAAAGCCAGCATCCAAAAGTGTAAACACCTTTTAAAGTGGCAACTAACCAGAAATGGAGCTTGAAAGCCTGACAATCACAACTCTGATTCGTGGAGGAGCCCATTCAACTCCCTAGCAGGAAGACTGCCCAGAACGGGTAACGACTTCTCAACCAAATGCCCAACCAAGTTAAGCTTCTTTGGTTCTTTACCAAAACGATGCAGAAACCTGTTAGGAAGCAGTTTGAAGTCTGACAACTCAACAGGTAAGTGAAGGATGCCCTACATTAAGGTTGGCGCTCTCTGTTCAAAGGGAATCTATGGTTCGGGCACGTAGGAATATCCCTTGACAAATGCAAATCCCACAAGAGGAGTGTGTGATTCCCATTCTTTTCCACCATTGTATTTCCCAGAGCGACTGTGCTTTCCTTGGTTTCTTCGTGGTTTTCTAGCAAGAACACCGTCCTGCGGGGTTCCTTTGTGGTGGTTTGTAGGAAGAAGGAGCTCTGGATTCAGAATGGTGGGAAGCAACCCCTAACCCCTCGAAAACGCGTTGGTTTGCCAAAGACAAACAACCAACCAAGTAACCAAACAAACACAAACAAACAAACAAACAAACAAGCGCGAATCTGGGAAGTTACCTCTTGGGCCTATCTTTAAGGCATATACAATGTTTCTGGGAACCAGGGTGGTGATAGATAGAATGGCCGGCCAGGGTCCTTGTTGCTTTTTGAAGACACAATTCTGTTTGGCTGGTTTTCTCTTTTTTTGTTGGTTTTCTAAGGGTTGCTCCAGGACGGCTTGGACGTCACGCAAGGCGCTTCGATCGATGCGCCTTGATTCCCTCCTTGCAGGCGGGGCGGTCCGTGAGGCAAACGGGGACCTCTACCAACAACTGGTTCCGGATCCGCGCGGGGGCCGACACCTCGGAGGCTTTTCGTGCTTCAGAACCAAGACAAAAGCGCATATGGGTATGTTTGAAGAGGACCGACCCAGAATAATGTTGCGAATTCTGCTGTTGGTTTAGTGTGGCTGACCCTTTTGAACCCACCATAACCCACCACAAAAGGAATACATGTAGTTCCAAGACCCCTGCAGCATTTTGCCATATCCTGACCCCATGATGAGGATCCCTTTCGTAGAGGGTTTTGCGGCATGTTCAAATCCTGTGTGGAAGGCTTGCAATATTCCGCAGCTAGAGGCACCACCTATGTACGGAATATACATACCACGCTATACAGCTTGTTGGGGAAAATTCGATGGTGCCGTTCGCCCCTTCCCATTTTGGGCTTGTCATCCCCTTTACCCACAAGGCAGTGGTGCCGTCTAGATTGCCCGAACAAAAATCCGTTGATTGGTGCCATCTCTGAAGGAATTGCCCAATGTATAATTGACATCTCCATATTCACCGGGCGGTTCTCAAGTCCACAGCCCGAAGCAACGTTTGCAAGTCCCAAGTTGGCCCTTTGGAACCTACGGAGCCCAAAAGGTCACCCGTCAACCTGCCAACCGATAGCCCACCCAAATCCGAAACCTTTGCCCTACCGGCCTTTTGCTCAGCAATGTGATTTGCAGTAGTGATGACAATGCGATATCGGTCGACGATACTATGCAATGGGTACACACTTGGCTCCAAATAAAACATGTCCATTTCTTGTCTGTGAACAAGACCAGCTGACTACAAGTTGGCTCAACGGGGGTGCAGCTCCTACACTCACACCCGGGCTTGCGATTTTAATCGGGCTGAAGGGCTGATTGGTGCAAGGTGAACACGGCCGACCCCGGAGTCATCCCTTTTTCCATGGAAATCTACAGGTCGAGTGGGCACCCATGAAGTGGGAGCCGGGAAGCCACGAGGTATGAACCGCTACCTTAATGACACGTGCTATCTGAGCAAATGTTCCTAGGTGGGAAATAAGACCACTCCCAAGCGTGGAGCTCGTGTTACCCCCCCGTCAGCTCTGCGAAAGCTGGGGCACGGGGGAGTCTAGCAGAAAGCTGAAGCCCTCCAGCGCGAAGGGCGCGTAGTCGTTGTTCTCGTAGAAGGCTATCAGGCTGGACCTTGGCCAAATCCGCTCTTCACATGAATCCGTCTCTTGTCAATTGGCCGCTCAACAAGCCAAAACAAGTGGAACATGTCCTTTCCCAAACCCTCATTAGATCAAACGCTCAATTGTCAAATAAACATGTACCCATCGCTCGCACCAGGGACAATCAGAATCAGGTGTATCCGAAAGAAATAGATTTGTTGGAACCCATGGAACTGGTCACCCAAAACAGGGTCAAACTTCCAGTGGGGGTGTTTGGATGTGTCGCCCAGGCGCGTTTCTGCTGCGAAGCGAGTCTGGTTGGTCGCCTCGGATTCATCGGACGAAAAAGACGCCGGGTTTTCTTGCGAATTGAGTCGTGATTGGACTTAGGCACCACCACTGGCAGCGCAACTACATAATCTGTTGGTTGGTTCCCCACTACCGCAAACAAGAAATACAACACCCGCATGTTGGTTGCTTTGTCTGGACCCCCTGGCTTCCCTGTCAGGCCACAGCCTTCACCACGTATCCACTTGTTCGAATGCCGGCCGTTTGACGCAGCCTCTTTGAGTCCAGGTGTCTCGAGGACTTGCTTTCGGGAGCCAGGGTTGGCTACATGGGTTTGACCGTGAAGGGAAACCAAAAGGTTGTTCAAACCCCACTTGTCCAGCGACTCTGTCAAAAAAGGACTCTTTTTGGGGCTCACCATTTTGATGGGGAAGCAACCTAAGGGAAAACGCCTTGAAAACCACTGAGCAACTGGGAAAGCGTCTGAAAATATGTATCAAGCGCTTGGCCAACCCTGGACGGCCGGCTCCTTCCATCACCCATGGTTCAAGCACACTGCGGGAGAAGGGCACTCATGCAAACAGCCCTGCGTCCAACATGACAGCAACTGGCGGAGCCCAAGCAACTGGCTTGAAGAGTTCGCACTTAGTTGCCATTAAGCCTCATTTCAAAGGGGGGTGTTCCTACCGACTGCACCCGAACGGTGAATTTGCTTCGTCAAGGACAGATGAATCGGGGCTGGAGCGGACGAGTTCGACCTTTGAGGCGAAAGTGTTGGTCTTGGCAGCAGCCTTTGACATTCCAGCTGGGCAGTCCACGGCAGTTTTGAAGTGGCACTCATACTTTTGCACCTTCTTGGCAGTCAGGCTGTGACGCGAGAAAGCAAACCCTTTGTTCAAAGGGGGAGGGTCCGGGGGGGGGGGGGCTTGCCCTTAATCTATCCGTGAATGGAGGAAGTGTCTCAGTACCAGATAAGCAGGTCAGGCGTCCAACAACAGGATCCCCTTTAGCAATTGCCCTGGGGAAAGTCCAAGAGCCATAGCTTGGGTGTTTTCATGAATTGAAAGGCCAATTTGGGCCACATGAAATCCCCGGCTTAGAGCCCAAAAAACCGGTAGCTGCCCAGCTGCCCGCCTTCTTGTTCTTGGCCCTTGGTGGACCCTTAAAAGGACCGGGTCCCCTACGGAAAAAAATCGGAGGTTCGAAGCACCCAGGGAGCTGCCCGCCAAGCTGCGAAGGCCTCCTCCAAGTTCCGCGCCCACAGCACCATGGACTGATCCGCGCGGGGGTACACCGGCAGGTCCAGCCTCCGTCAAAAAAAAAAAAAAAAAACGGCTATGACCGGCTCCCCGCGCAAAAAGGTGGCTGAAATGACTGAACTTTTGTTGGTTGCGTTTTTTTGGTGTCCAACCAAAAGTGTAGGGAAGGAAGTGAGACCCCTGACAAGGAGCAAAAGCATGCTCTTGGTTCCGGGGGGGCCTTTGAAGACATTGCACTAGCCAGAAACAGCGGGGTTTGTCTTTTGGCCACCATCAGTGGATGGGCATCCCAAGTGCAACGATTTGTTGACCACTTTGTTCAAGGGTAGTCTCAAAAGGACCCCCGGGCACGAAATACTGCAAGTGCGCCCTAGGGAACAAGCATGTTTTGACTGGAGCACCCTCAAACACGGTGCGTGGCGCAAACCCCCATGAAAATGATGTAAACGATATGCAAAGGGCCCCCAAACATTCATACCATACCCACCTCTGTAAACAATCACAGGTCCTGTTCATCATGATAGAGTTCACCTCACTGGCTGAGTGGATGGCCCAAAAAAATCCAAACTTTTTGTTTACCACTAAAATGGTCTTCCCAAAAAGTTTAAAGTTCATAAACTCAGGAAGTGAGTCACAGCGGGTGAATAACGGAATAACTATCCACACTTTTACGATCCGTTTCCGATGGCTTCCTGCGAGGCAAGGGGGTGCCTAAAGCCAAGAACCAAGCAGGGCGAAGAAATGATCGGCGGGGCCTTACGGAAGACAAAGGGAAACCAAACGAACACGTTGACCGAGTGCCCTTTTTGTTTTGAAGGCACCGAGCAAAAACAACCGTGAAACAATGTTGCTCCCCAACCAGTTGCACGGTGAGCCTGGTGGAAAAAGACTTGGCACCCGTTTCGCTGTTGCCTTTTTTAGTGGAAAGCTCACTTGGGTGGAATATGGTGGAATCCAGAGCCACTACCAAATTTGATAGAAATGGTTCCTGAACAAACGTCTACTGTTGCTCGCTTGGTTTGGCAGGTGTGTTGCGCCAAAATGGTGAAAACCCCGAGTGAGCTGCTTCCCTCGACATACATTCAGATCATCCCGGTGGAGCCTCTTAATGCTAACCTGGGAGTGAATTCTAGACGCTGGCCCCAGCCGAGATAGCTTTCTCTCTTGAGCACCGGGGACACAACCAGGGGGGAGGCGATCCTATGATCCTGCGCAAGATGATCTAACCACAAACAAGCCGAGCTGGTTCTTGTTGGAGGGCGTTCCCCCCAAGAAGGAATCGGGGAAGGTTCATAATGCTCATCTCTGAAATGGGACACCTGGTAATCATCACAACATCAACCGGCAGAGGTTTGCTAAGCCTAGTTTTCTGTTATGGCATACACCTCCCCCTTCTGGCTGCTGCTTTCAAGCTCTTACTTGCTCATTTGCTCGCTGAACAGCTGCCATCCCCTCCAGTTTGCCCGTCTGCATGTGGTGTCGGTACAAATGTCCCAGGGGCAAAGGGAGAATGGCGATCAGGAAGATGGTGAGCATAGCGACTCCTCGGCCAATCGGATTTGACATCCCTCCAGCACCCCGAGCGATGCCGCTTGGAGAAGGATACAAACAGTTGTTGGGGGCTCCGGTGCTGGTTGTGGTCATCTGTTCGTTCGGAGCAACCTGCAACCAGCTAACAGGTGGAAACAAACGGCTTCGCCACTTTTGGAAGGTCACTTTTTGAAGGGTGGCCTTAGCTGGCCTTAACCAAAGAGCGCGGTTCCAGACCCATGCGTCTGCGGTTTCCCTGAGTTCCACGTTCTATTCGAGTCTTTCCGGCCAAGGAAACGTGGCACCCTGCTGGTGAACCTCTTCATTGGCCAATATTGGCCAGCAAACTAAAAACGTATGACGTATGCAGTCCGCTTTTAAACATGACTTGGCCCACATCTGGCCGATGAAGGGAACCGGGAAAAAAGAAGAAAAACACAAACGAATTCAATTCATGCCTTCGACCTGCCGACACGAGTCCCCCACTTCTTTGAGGAAGTCAAGAAGGTGAACACCCTTGGCAACCAAGCAGGGCTGAAGCAAACACGATTTGAACAGCAAAGACCCCTCTGAATGTGCTCCGTCCAATTTGCCTGACGGTCAAGGTGGGGTTGGGGCCAGAAGGGAAAAAGAGCCCCTCAAATTCAACCATAGACACAGGACTTGTGTGGGACTTGTGTTTCTCAAATTCCAGTCATTTTGCCAACGCTCATGTTTTGATGACCTCCATCTGCCAGCATTGCGCCCAGTGGCGGGTGGCAATTGAGGTGGTAATGCGCTGGGCCAACACTTTGGCCTGGAACCCCTTGTCGCTGCCTGCGCAAGCGAGTTTGCACGCAGCAGGGTAAGCAAGACATTTTTCCAGCTGGCTTGGATTCTGAAGCCAGCAAGCCAACTTTCGGTGACGGTCGGCAGGCCCGCCTAAACTCCCCTAACAACATGGACTCCTGTCACAACCCAGGACCTTCCCTTAGGTCCTTGCTGGTCCGGAACGGATGGCCATGGCACTATGCGATGCTGTCCCCGCCTTCGGGGGCCCGGAAGCAGCACATCACCAGCCTAGCTGGGGATGGCAACCAAATTAAAACTCAGCAAAGCTTTTGGCTTGCAAAAAAGGAAAGTCAGAACGTTATTGTAGGGAGGTAGGTTATTGTAGCAACCCCCTTTTCAGGGAGCCACCTCCGGTCAGGGAAGTAGACCAACAGTCAAACAACAAAATCGGAAAAAAATGGGGTGCTGAAGAAAGTGCTAACCGAACGTGCTGACACATCCAATCAAGGCATACAAGACGGCACAGGCCAAACAAACAAAGCTATATAACCGGAATTGAAGTATCTGGCTGCACTGGTTGAAAACCTCCGGTTTGCGATCCGTTTGCCCATGGTAAAGTAGTGATAGAGACAATCCCTGCTCCATCGCGATTCGTCCCCACAAAGCTAGGCATTCTGTGAGTGCGCCAATTTTGCGGGTTGCCTCTTTTTGCATGGTTTAGAGGGAAACCACAACGAAATCGAAATCCGAAGCCATTGTGGGGAGTTTCCTAAAAGAAGACACACTCAGGTGCTCTCCCCCCCTGCCCACGTCAAGCCCAGCGGCTTGAAAATGCGCCCGGCCCTGGCGCCCAGTTTGGCCGCTCGCGCGGAGCGCAGCACCACCGCGTGGACCGTGTCCTTTTTTCCGACTCGTCGAGACTTGAGGAGTCAGCTCGAGGAAGGCACAAGTCAGCACACATCTACTGGTCGAAAGTCCATTGAAAGTCGCATGTCCAGCGCCCCCGCTAGACGAAGGGAACCCTTCTGGGGTTTATCATTCTGAGGTTTAAACAGGGGTGCCGCTGAACAAGTGGGACATCTACTGGTTTCCATGGACCCCCGTTGGAGGCTCCAACAAGGTTGAACCTCTCCCATGTATCAGATACAACAGGGTTAGTCCATCCTTATTGGAAAATAAAATGAAATAGTCCCACTTTGACATGTTTATTTTGCACACTCGCGTTTTCACAAAATAAAGTCGGGGGGGTTCAACTCGGATGGTGATTTTGGGCTCACCATGGATTCCTTGAAATCACCATGGTTTCCGTAAGGTTTTGAACCTCCAGGCAGGCTTCGGACCGAATCCTCCAGGCAGGCTTCGGTTTCCTTTTGGTTTTCAAAACCAAATACGAAGCAAAAGGAGTCAGAAAACCCATTGTGCGATCAAAGTAATGATTCTTTGACCGCCCTCCCGCCCCCCCTAAAGTTAACATCGTCCAACTCCACACTGAATTTTGATAGACTTAAACAGTGCCATGTCTAAAATGTAGTTGCCGCAATCCAACATTTTCCAGGTCTTGGTTGGACTTGGAAAAAAACACTTCCTGGGGAAGTGGCGGGTTACCTGATGTTAATTTGACATGAGTTCAGTCCAACTTTGAAGGGTTTTTCACCGAGGCCAAAAAAACAATTAGGCTTAATGGAAAAAGGGGGTTGGACTGAAATAAAGTAGATGACTTATTTTAGGAACCGAACCCGCCCCAACTTCATTTTGAGCCTGCAACGGGGGATGCAACGGGGGGTCCATGGATCGAGGGTCTGGACCCCCATCCCCGAGGCTTCTCCAGGGGACCATGCCTTCTCAGTTCTTGGAACCGCTCTAAAGGGCGCTACACCCAGACATAAATTTACTTGATGATTGCTTTCCCAGCTGTCCCCCCCTCACACGAAGGTTCAACGCACTGAGACCTCTTTCTCTTTAGGCGCTGTTTCACAAGCAATCTGGGCCCCTGGGACTGGAAATGGAACCCTGTTGTTTTCCCTGTGGTCAAAAACCAGCTAGGATCCCCAAGAAATAACAGGGGATCCGATCAGGGCGACGCAGAACCGGCTGGGGGGAACCGCCCGAAAAAAAAAAAAAAAAAAAAAAAAAAAAAAAAAAAAAAAAAAAAAAAAAAAAAAAAAAAAAAAAAAACTGAGAAGGCACGATACCCCGGGGAAAAGCCGATGTGTGTTTTTACTGTAAGGTACCTCATTTTTGGCCATAGGCTTTTCCCAAGTGGACAGTGCCTTCTCAACTTGTTATTTTTTTTGAAAAATAAAAATAAAAATGAGCGAGCACGCAGAGGTTGGGGGAGCACGCAAACCCGGAGAAGGCCCGCAAAACCGGAGAAGGCCCGCAAAACCGGAGAAGGCCCGCAAAATCCGGAGAAGGCCCGGAAAAAATATGAGTCTGTTTTGTTTGGCGATGTGTGACGTGCAAATCCGCATCCATGGCTGCTGGTGATGCCTGTGCTGCTGCTGATGCTGGTTATGCCTTTGATGCTGGTGATGCCTCTGAACTGGTAATGCCTAAAAGTATCAGGCCAGAGCCAAGGCTGACAAACCAACATGCCAGCCCTTGAGAAGGCACGCTTATCTGGGGGAACCCGCAAAATCCAGAGGACGCGTGTCCAGACTTCCGAATGGAACGGAGGAATCCCTGACACACACACACACACACACATTTTTGGGAGCGATATCAATGTCACTCCACTGTCAGTGGGCACGGTCAGGGTCCAACACAAATGCTTCAACAGGTTAATAGAGTAATAGACATATATATAAATATATATGTGTCTCTTGATTAACCGAAGTCTGTGTTTGTTATGGCGTTATTAAGCAGTGGGAGGGGGATTGGAACTCTATCACGTTCAAGGTGCGTAGTCCCTCATTTCGACCCTTGCAAAGGACGGGACAATTCGTACAAAAGCTGATTTCCTTTTTAATTAAGGGGCCACTAAACAAACAGGAACTCTGAGGGCCATGTTCTTCTCTTCCTGCTTGGCTGTTTGGTGGGGGGTACCCATGCCCCAGTCGGGAACCCCAAGAAAGGGAGTCTTGGGAGTGTCACTGAACAACGGAAATGATGGAGTTTGAGGGTGTAGAACTGGCAACGACGGGTTCTGCCCAATGAGGGCCGCATTTCTTCGGACCCGGGAGGAAAGCCATGGGCATCCATGGCTCCACACCGCCCATGAGGAAGGAGATCTCCAGAGCCATGGATGCAGTGCCCAAGATGTCCATGGCGAAGAAGAAGGACCAGCCTAGCGCGTTCAGAAGAAGGTTTCCCTTTCAGTAGCGTGAAAGCAAATGCCACAAAGTCCTTTTTGGGTAAAAATCCCTAGTTTGCACCACACAGGGGCAAAGTAGATGGCAGAAATCCTATTCTCTGGCCAGAGGATAACGATAGAGGTTATACGCAACCTAAACAGCTTCATCTAAATTGGGTGCGAAAGGGGAGCTTGCCGAGTACACTTGGGTGAACGTTTGATTTAATTGGATACAAGGGGGTGACCAAACCCAACTGGAGGCAACTTTTGCCCAGGACCCAAAGCACCAGTCTTCACTCCCCTCCAACAATGCACCAATGAGTTTCTTGCAGAAACAATCTTTCAGGAAACCCTCCCCTCAGTTTGGTTCCATGTTCGTGCTAGAACACCGTAAGAAATAGGTAGATGGCTAATATGCATTTGTCAGGTTGCTCTAAGGTCAAGGTGTTCTGAGGTTTGCTTGCATGTGCATGTTTTTTGTTTTAAGAAAACAACATCCAAAAAAACACATATCCTCTGAGGAGGCCCCGGAAAAGCGAAATCAGTCACCAAAAAAAAAGCAAGAAAGGGCACATTCGGATGACTCCGCAGCCGACCTTCCCAGCCGCTGTTAGACAAAGGTCGTTCGTTGCATCCCCTCCCAAACTGAACATCAAACCTGCGCAGACACGATAATTGTTGCTCCCAGGTATATACTTTGCGCAACCTTCCTACGGTACAAGCGACCGCCCTAAGCGCATCGTGCGCCCGAAACGCACATCACTACATGGCCACGCAGTTTGCACAAAGGCACATCACATGTCAAAAAGGCACGTCACATCAACGCAAACCAATTGGCCCAGCCACTTCGACGAACAACCCCCCAAATTACATATTGCATGGCCAAACGCAGTGAGTTCCATTGTATGAATCCTAGCTCGGGAAATTATAACTTCTCCGCAGTTGTGAGCAAACCACACGATACGTCTGTCTGCGTGGTGATGCGCCTTTGGGCATGCGGCTTGTAGCCTTATGCCCAGTGTGAGCCGATGCCCCTCCTTGCAAAACCCAAGGGCTACCTTACGCAGGCGCCTCGTCGTACACCTGTTTCCCTGGTTCGCGCACAGCGCACAAAGCCAAGTGTAACCCCCCACTCGGCTGCACATGAGAACAAACAAGCGGAAGAACGATTGGAATCCATGAAACAACAAATCATAACAAGACAAGTTTCTATGGGGTTAAGACAGACAATGTATATATTGATATGTGCATACTTGAGCCAAACGTCGTTTCGGGAACCTGACCATGAGTGTTTCCTCGCTAGACGCAGGCCAAGCTGCGATACCAATAGCTGGCCATGTAGTTCAGCGTTAGCTCCACAAGGAACATGACAGTGGCCAGCACCTTCGTCCATGGCAATGGAAGGGGGTCGCGGGGCTAGTTTGCCCAAACATCAAACGATGATCAGCCAAAACTTATGGTTCATACATGACAGTGAAATTCTAGATGTTATTCAAAGACCCAAAGCCGCTTGCACATTGGTAATCTGGTCCTTGGGCAGTCAAACGACTTGTCCAGTTCCAAAATCAGGGCAACCCAAAAATTGGTTCAACCTCTTCGGCCCAGCCCAGGCATTTCATCCAGTTCGGGTCAGTTAGGGTGCGAAGGGAAGGGGTGCCTTGGAACCAGACAGGAAAAAAGCTTGAGGCAAAGTGTCAAGGGTGTCAAGTGGTTCGGTTTCCCTCCCCAAGTTTGTGTGTCATTTTTCTGTTGGGGCGGCGGCGGCAGATTTGAGGGGAACCCCTTTTGGATTCCGTGGAAGCTTCAAAGGGCACGTTGCAAGTGTCCAACAAAAGGACTTTGATTGGTTGGGTGTCAGCCCCCTTGTCGAAAAAAAGCCCCAACCCGCTACAAGAACAAAATAACCTAGAAACACGCTTCGGCTTCAGCTTGAGCAAAGACTCGATCAGAGGGCAGAAATTCGGCCTCTGGTGAAAAACTAGGCAATTCCAAGCTCTCTACCTCTGCGTCTTTACGCTTCGAGCACCGCTGGGATAGTGGGGGGGGCAATGTTCTCTTGCTGGTGCTCAGTAGGGAATTCCCATGGTTTCAACGCGCCAATAAAGGACCAACAAGTCTGTATAGGGGGCTGAATTTTTCAGGTTGGCTTGAAGAGCAACTCACTTCCTGAGTGGATTGGCTAAAGTCTGAGCTCTTCTTTGCAACTAAATCTCAGTTGCCCAAAGGACCCAGAAACCGTTTGGGCCATGACCAAAAATGGACCAAAAACGGAAACCAAAGGGCAAAAGGTCGGCTAGGGGCGAGTGAGAAACTGGTCTTCCCAACAAGTGTCAAAGTTCAAGAACTCAGGAAGTGAGATAGCCCCCCCTTTTCTTCTTGCCGGGTACAGGGTCCATCAAAGCAACATCCTCCAATTCATTCACTACACAAGGAACTCTCTCAGCTTAGCCCGAGTTCACGGCAAAAGCCAAAGGCCCATTGCTTTGAAGCCAAAACCTGCGACTCTAAGCCAGCGGCCATCACCAGGTCCTCGATGCGCGGCTCTGTGCTTAAACCAGGATACGCGGCTGGACTTTGAGAAAAATCGTGCTTCAAACAAAGGAAATCAGGCATTGGTCTGAATGGGTCCCTCAGAGGGCCATCCTCAAAATACACAACAAATTGTGGTTTAAAGGGACACCGCCCCCTCCCCCCCCTCCCGGAAAAAGGAAGCACCGCGCCCGGAAAAAGAAGCAATTTTGAAAACTCATCAAAACGTCTGAGTGTTGATGACCCATTCTGTCCGATATCTGGGTTGCTCCAAGCTCCCCTGAGCAAACGGGCGATCGCCTGATGTTCGTTTAATGGAGAAGCAAGTGGTTTCAGAAAGGTCTGATGTCGACCTCGTATTTAGAGACCCTCGCGTATTTGCAAAATCCAAATCCCAGAACGAAATTAGAACCCCCTGTTAGGTTGTTAGATCTTGCGCTAGTATTATACTATACATGTGTTAAGTGCCGTTGCATTTCATGTAGAATGTGCAGATAAATCAATGCAGGTGTCAAGCAAGGCGTAAACATATATTGGAGCTATTCTAGGATAACATGCCTTCTAGTTGTTATGGTTTGCTTCGTTGGGCACGTGGAATGCCCAACGGAAGGGACCGAACAACCCAGGGTGGGGGAGGGGGGGGGGGGGGTGGACAGAATGCTCCACTTTTGGATCTCTCTTTGAAGGGGTTCTGAGCAGGGGTCTGAGAACCTTTCTCTAATGTCCCTGACTTTGTAAGAAACTTCAGTTTTCCTGGTCCCTCCCCCAAAAATAATAGGCAAATCCGAATATGTGGTCAAACCTACGGCTTCTCCTGCCTTCTCTTTCCAGCGAGCGTGCAGGCGAGAGTCTAAGATGGCCAGGCCGGCGCCGGTGTCCGGAATGTCCAGCAAGGTGAACAAGGGCCCACCAAACAAAGCCTCGGAAAGAGAGCTTGAGAGCTTTCGAGCTTTCGCTCGTAAGTGACATCCAGAAATGACTCGCAAAACGTGGGGTTTCAAAGCCGTCCCATCCTGGAAACTGCAATCTGAAGAATGGACTTAAGGGACACCACCCCCAAAACTAAGTTTGCGAGCCCCATAAAATAACAAGGAGCCCAGAATCTCGCAGACTCTATGGCTCCAGTGAAAGGCGATGAATTGTTGACGCGCCAAGGAAGACGCTGGTTACGAGAAAAAGTTTTTGCGCCCTCAGGGCTTCCCCCATGCGACTATAAAGGGATGAAAGGTTGTACCTGGAAGCGGGAACGTCAAAGAACTCAATACGAAGCTGCTACCTTTCTGATTCATTGATAGGCTCGGAGCAACCCTGCCTTAACGCAGGGCCCAAAGCTTCTACCAGCCCGCGCTTTTATGAAGCATGCCAGGTGTTGGGTTGCTCGTGAGCCAAAGGCCGGAGCCCATGTCCAAAAGGTTTAAGCAAAGTTTCGTTCGGAGAGAAGGCCGATTCGGACCCCCCAGAGACGGTGAGCTTCGCTTCCGTGATGTTTGGGTCCAACCAGAAGGTAAGTTGGAGGTCAAAAGGCTGGCTTGGGGATGAAGACAAAAAGTCCGCAAAACACCTGGAAGTTTGAAAAAACAACCCGCCACTTGTTCAGGTTGGCTTGGGGACACTTGAAACGAAAATTCAAGGGCCACCCTTTCCCCTTCCCCCACCCTTTCACTACGACCCCTCCTGCATTCAGTTCTGGGCGGGGTGCCAGAGGCTTCCCTTAGATCCCCCAGCTGTGGATTTCTTTTGCTGCTCAGCTTTAGCATCCTTTTTGCGCCTTCCAAGGAAAACTGCGGAAGGCATCACAGGCAAACCCTAGATTGACCGTTTTCCTTTGCTAGCCGGGCAGCAACGATCAAGGAAACCGCCATCACGTACTTGAAGATCTTGTTGTTGAGAACCTGGTGTCGTCGTGTCGTCTCCCGTCAAGGGGGCAACGTGCTGGCTCTGAGGGAACTTCGGGAAGGACTCCGAAGCGAACCATCCAGCTGGAAGGGATGCCCGAGGCCTTCCAAACCCCCAGGTGATACTGAGAACCTAGAAAGCCGGTTTGAAGAACTGGTCAGTCCCGAGGAGTCAAAGCGAGGTGGATTCAAGAATAGTTCTTGGGTTCAAACACGAGGCTGTTTGAACAGCTTGGTGGTAACATGCTACACCGGCCTGATGAAAGACCTACACATCCGGGCGCCAAGATTCTCGAAGGCTCGGAAGGGGGCGTCTCCGATTTCCAAGGAATCCTGAGAAGCCTCCGACCCCCAATCGTATGCAAAAAGGCGTAACATTCCCTTCATGAATGTACGCAAAGAGGACGATAAAACCTCAATGGGGTGTTGCCATCCATGTTTGTTGAACATACCCCTTGTGACACGAAAGTTGGCCATGACTACTTGGTCATACATGATCAGCGCACAGGATTCCCGAGGTTTTGCCCACAATGTCCATTTCCAAAAACACGGTGTCAACACTCAGCGGGGCTGGGGGGGAGGGAGGAGGGGGGGGAGGGAGCCCAAATAGGCCCTTACTAAGCCCTTAATAAGGCCTTATTTAGGGCTTATTTGGGCTCCCTCCCCCTCCCCTCCCTCCCCCCCAGCCCCCATGAAACACTGGGGAACCCCTGAAATAGTTGTTTTTTCCGTCAGGTTTCCCGTTCCAACACCCATCTCCCCACCCCCCGCCCGGCCCGGTCAGCCCACGCTCCGAGGCCCAGACATTGGTCGGGCACCTGCGGTCAGAGATGCCAGTGGCCTGTCTCGCCGGCAGGAGCTTCTCCTGGGAGGAGCCTCGCCAGTCGGACAAATCTCTCGGCCTGTGGCCATGGCAACGAAGCTGTTTCTTTCTTGCTTTCGGCTTCCTAGATTGGAGGGGACCTCAGCTTCTATCCAGTTGGTGGTTTGCATTGGTGGTTTGAAGGTTCGGGCTGGTTTCCCATTTGCCGTCCACAAGAACCAGAGGGCCAAATCCCCAAATTGCCAATTGGGGAGCACCTGACAATTCGAATGTGTTGCCACAAAAATCGGACCAGCGAGTGGCCACGGCAAGGGAAAATGCGGGCTTTTTGTCGTCCGAGTTGTTGTCACCCCAGTTTTCTGCAATTCCCGTAGTCCACGCTGCAAACTGTAGGTCAAAACCGTATGTTAGAGCATGGGCAACCCATCATCCGCAATCCGCAAGCAGCGTATAAACCACACCATCCGCTAATCATAGGGGATTAGGCTTTGAACAAGCTGGAATATCCCCCTCCCCCCCGCGAGCTTTTGTCCCAGCCATTTGAGTTTGTCCAAGTGGGCAACACCCCCAAAAGTAGGCATTGGTATCTTATATTCGGCTTCCATTAAAGACAGCCCAACAAAAGGTGCCCCTCGTCAATACAACACATTTGGCCTGACTTTAAACCAATCCCCTAAACGGCTTCCTCCTCAAAACATGACCAGTGGGTCCGACCGAATCCAGTCCCATCGCGTTGCGGACACCCCGAAAAGCCAGCAAGTCCGCATAAAGCGCCAAGGGGCGCCCAATGACATTGCCGGGCTTCGACATGGGCTCATGTGACGATGGGTGTCAGGTCGTCACTGTCACTAGTCGGTTTCCTCTGCGAAAGTGGCGGGTTGGTTCCTTCTGAAGGGTGTTTTCTACCAGTCTTTTAAAAGGGTCTCTTTTTCGCCTTATTTTGCCTTGAGAGGTCTGGCTGTGGCTTGCTTCCCAAGGGGAACGCCGCTTCTTGGTTGGTCCTGTAGGCAAACCAGGAAGCCTCTCTCATTTCAGAAGTGGCTTGGTGGAAGCTCCAAAGCTCAACCCTTGGAGCATGTGCATTCTGGTGCCTAAGGATTCAGAGAGGTGACCAGAGTTTACCCATCAAGCTTCCAACGTGCCCTCGCGTGTCTGGACTTTGACTCTGAGCATGTCGGGCCATGGCTGCAGGGCGTGCCTGTCGCGCCGCCATGTCCTTCCCCGGTCTTACCAAACCTTTTCAGTCACTGTACAGCCACTGCAAAGCAAGAAGTTGCCGCACCGTTTTTCCGTCGCCAAGCCAGTGCCTTCCCACGGGACCGCAAAGCACAGTCCACCAGCCGTTGCCTAAACCATCCAAAGAGCCCGCGAATAATTCGGCCGGGGAAATCGGTGAATCGCTGGAGCAACCCGGGGAAAGATGGATGCGAGCGGCTCTTGCCGAGAAAGTATGGACAGCTTGATGGCGATACCAGGTTATATAAAGCAACAGGGAACAGGGATGCCAAAACTCACGATGTCTAAAACCACCAGGAAAACAGCACTGCAATGGGACCCTCCCAGCCTTGGGTGATAGAGAGTCCGGACAAAAATGGCTAAACTGAGCAACCTCACGTCGAGTTCCTCTAGTAAAAATACAAAAACACAACGTGTGATGTTTACATCTGCATGTATCTTAAAGGGAACACTCTGAATACAAAAGGGCACACACACACACACGCCATGACTTTGGATACTTCATGTTTTGGTCATTGAATTCTATTAACATCCCACCCTCCAGCATGTGTGATGGTCATGGCGCCCTGAACGTCTATTCTTATGGTTGTCTAAAGTTCCCATTAAGGGTTGATGACCAGCCCTACCAACCCCAAGTAAAGGGATGCCATGGCACATATGCCCTACCCCCGAAAGGGGCGCACGTGTTTGAGTAGTTGACCTTAAATTGGCAACCCCCTCTAAAAAGAATGGTCGAAATGAAGCAACCCACTAGGTGTCAGGGTATGTCATTTACAGCACCCAGCGCATAGAACAAGGTCCCAGGCGAAAGCCGCCCTCGTTCGTTGTCTGGACCTGTGCTCAGCCCGTGTGCAAAGGAAATGCCCGGTGTGCAAAATGGGGGGGGGGCTGAAAAATCAACCAATGACCCTTCCCCTTTTGGTTTTCTCCTGGGCGAATTGACAAATATGGGCTATTCTGGACCCAGTTGAACAGCTTGAAGCCCTGAAACCCTGAAACTCCCGAGTTGGTTGAGGAGGAAAGTAGTTATGACTGGACAGGTGAAAACGGGGTCGAAAGGCCAAACCGCATTTCGGATTCAACACCTTGTTCAGTCCCCACAAGGGGGACACCCTCCCTTAATCAATGAGGGTGTTGTAGTTCGGGTTTCCAATGCTGAGGAACCGCAACTCTTAGAGTCTTAGAGCCTTGACTTCACATGGACCCACATGGCTTTGGTCCTCATACCAGGCCCGTACGAGCCACACACCCGCCCCCTCCACAAGAACGACCCTGAATCCTACCCATACGAGGGTCAGTCAAGAGGCACTCAACGTACCAAAGGTTGATTCGCTTTGAGCCAATCGATCTGAGCATGTCGCCCTCCACAGCGATCCAGCAGGAGGTTCAGCCTAAAGAAACATCCAAAGCAGCACCCGCCCGAACAACTCACCAAGCACTAGTCTGCAACTTGACAAAAGCACCCAAAGTATGCAAAGCACCAAAAGGGATATGTCTGGAAACCTGTGGCAATCCAGGTTTGCAACCCAGTCGGTGAGTTCACCGCAAGACAGGTTAAAATAAAACCTTGTCCCCGGGGAAATATTGAGTTGACTTCGTTGCTGCTGGGAAGGAGTCATTTTGGCTTTAGCTATATACTTTCCACTTCGGGCGCCTTTTCTCGTGGCTCTGTCGCGCATTAGTTCGTCCACTGGAAGGATGTCTTCGGTGGTGCACATCACACGCCCAACGGCGTGTAGCACGTAATTGCGTACAGGCATCCAGGTGTCCCAAAACTCGTTGAATCCCCGTTCCGGGGTGCAAAAGGCCTGAAGGAAGCGGGTAACATGCCTTGGCACATGGGCCCCAATCAAACAACTTCCCATGAACCCAGGCCTCCCCCTTCCGTGGACAAAAGGGTTTCTTTCTTGGCACTTGAAATCTTAAGGGAAAACTTGGAGAAGAAAGAAGGGGAACCCAAAGGCCTGGGAGTGGGTTGACAGGCCCCTGTGCACCGTGGGGGCGGTGAACCCCCACGATTTTTGGGACACACCTGGGAATTGCTGAGAAGCCCAATGCAATCCAATTGGGAAAAGACATGCAAGTTGGCATTGAAAAAAGGTGTCCACATGGTTTGAAGCTGACCTTTCGCTCTGACGTGTTTCATGGAAACCGTCCAACAAAAAGAACAAACACGAATGGAATCCACTGGGCGACTGGGAAAAGTGGGCTTTGGGGCATTGACATTCAGAGGCAGCTGGCGACCAGGTGCTGAAGGGGAGACCTGACGAACTCGCGAATTCGAATTAGAGAGATGGAGATCCATCAAACAAAAATAACGAAACCACAGGTAAAACATGCATTTTGCAGGTCCCTTCTTTTGAGACACGCCTATGCCTATTATGCAATGAGTCCCTCAAAAGAGTACGTCTGAGCTTCTCCAGCTGATTTATGAAGGAGCCCTTTTATTGTGGGCCCATGCAGTTTCCTAGCCAATGGGTGGCCATAACTGGGGCAAGCCGTGTGCTATCTGAAAGCGAATGATGTTGGGAATAGTTGGGCTCTTTGGCCTCCGATTTAGTAAGGGGGCTTCAAGTATCCCTTCTGTGCCCCCTGAAGTCTTCGAGATTCTAGTCAGTATTCTTGCTATACCACAATTTTGTTCAAGGGTTTTTCTTTTCGGATAAATGTGATAACACAAACACATCGAAGAGAACAACAGAAAACCCAATCAATGTTCAATACCTGAGGTGAACCCGCAGGACACTAGCCATTGAATTGGATTGATGGCTTGGAGCTTTGGGGGTGGGCTCCCCTTTGGTTGAATCTAGGAACAGGGGTTCAAACTCCACACCGCAGATCCCACCATTCTAGCTTACCTGACAAAAGCGGAATCACACTCCAGATTTAAGCGCGGTGCGAGGCTGATTCGTCCGAGGCTGATGTTCGCACGCTAAAATCAAAACTCTTTAGCCCATAAATAAACAGAACCAAAGAATCCAAGAAGTACTCCCCTATCCAGGGTCGCATGTTAGTTGCAGGGGAGAGATGCATGCCAATAATTAACATTAAGCCTTGCGAAACCAGCCAACCATTGGAAAATGCTGTTTTAATTTTTTTGTGAGATGTAGAGCAAGCAGCAGAGCAAGAAAATAGTGATCCCAAGTTTCGGGTGGGAAAAAAAAGCAAGGAAAATGTGATTTTAGAGCAAACAGTGGGCACCAAAAAAGCAAGAATGCAGGAAACAAGAGACCAGAAATAGCAAGAAAATAGCAAGACAATTGTGAAACAAAAAGCAATAAAATTGTGATCAACCCTCGAAACCAGTAAATCTGCAAATCACAGCGGGAGATCATTATTTTCTTGCTTTTTTGGAGTGGGACAATTTGCTTTTTGTTGCAGGCGGCGACCCTTGAAACCCGCAAATCTGCAAATCACAACGGGAGATCACTATGACTATTTTCTTGCTTTTTTGAAATGGGAAATCCCTTTTTTCTTGCTTTTTTGTGCAGGCGACAACATCCAAAAAAGCAAGAAAATAGTGATCTCCCGCTGTGATTTGCAGATTTTCGGGTTTCGAGGGTCATCGCCTGCCAAAAAAGCAAGGAAAAAGTGATTTCCCACTCCAAACAGCAAGAAAATAGTGATCTCCCGTTGTGATTTGCAGATTTCCGGGTTTCGCCTGCCAAAAAAAGCAAAAAAAGAGCGATTGTCCGCTCCAAAAAAGCAAGAAAATAGGGATCTCCCGTTGTGACTTACAAATTTCCGGATTTCGAAGGTCGTCGCCTGCCAAAAAAGAAGAAGAAAATAGTGATTTCCCGCACGAAAAAAACAAGAAAAACAGCGATCTCCCGTTGTGATTTGCAGGTTTCCGGGTTTCGAGGGTCGTCGCCTGCAAAAAACAAGAAAATAGTGTTTCCCACTCCAAAAAACCAAGCAAATAGTGATCTCCCGTTGCGATTTGCAGATTTTCGGGTTTCGAGGGTCGTTGCCTCCAAAAAAACAAGAAAATAGTAATTTCCCACTCCAAAAATCAAGAAAATAGTGATCTCCCGTTGTGATTTGCAGATTTCCGGGTTTTGAGGGTTGTCGCCTGCCAAAAATAGCAAGAAAATAGTGATCTCCCATACAATCACTATTTGGATCCTCGCTATTTTGAGGTGCCCAAATCACTATTTGATGACCATCTGATCACTATTTTCTTGTTTTTTTTGTGTCAACTGTTGCAAGTGAATCACTTTTTTCTTGCTTTTCAGTTTGCTCTTAATTTTCAGATTGCTATTTTCTTGCTCCAACCCTCACTCCCAAATCACTAAAAAACATATTTTAACCTCCCTCAACGGTTGGCTGGACGAAAACTCTTAAAATTAACATTTTCTCCCATGGCTCGGCACGAGCCTGACGAGCCGTTGCCTCTTGTCGGCTGACACGGCATGCGGCTACTTCCCAGCATGAGCATGGCACCCCTTTCCCCAAACAAACAACTCCCTTGTTAGGCACTTGTTGGTGGGATCCGCACCCTCCGGCAAGCTAAACAGAAACCGAAAAGGAGGTCCCACCCCTTTGTTGGGTCCAGGCGGGTAAAAGAACTTCTCAGGGCTCCAACAGGTACGGGAATCATACCCGCTACCAGACTGGGTAGGCTTGCATGCCAAAACTTGCTCATTCCCAGTTGTCACAAATCACCCTCAATGCGATACCAAGTAAAATGTCCATCCCCAAACCTACTCTACCCACCACTTTGAGGGGCCCGGAACGATGGTATCACAAAAAGCGTGATTCCTAAAACCCGACTTCCTGCAATCATGCGTTTGCTTTTGCTTCTTGAGGGTACCCGTTTTGAGCTTCGTTCAAGGGAAATCAAACGTATCTCCATGTTGGGGGTCGACCTACTTTGACGCACACCCATGTACCTCCCTGCGGTACCTGAGCCAAGCAAAACGAGATGCGACTGCCCGGGTTGCCTCGAGATATGCATCAGCTTTTTCTCGTAAATGCTCTCGTATTCGAACCTGAGCGCGTCCCCTGAAAGTCGTGCATGCGCTTTTACTTGCCAACCACCTAGTCCATGAGTGTCTCAAAAAGGTGCGATGGTTGACAAGGGAACTTCAATAGGGGTTTTAGGGGCTTAGGGGTCTTATTCGGGTGCTTTTGTTCGCTTTTTGTTGGCTTGGGGCGTGGAAAAGAGAGGTCCCTGAAATGGTTGGTGTCCTTTCGGTTTCCTTAAAACAAGCAACCCCTGCGTTTGGCCAATTGCCTCAAGTTGGAATGATTGGTGGCAAAACCATCCTCACGGCTGCCCTTTGCTCATGAGTCCCTTCTCCGCTGGAGGTTCTGCCCTTGCCCTGACCTAGTGACCTCGGTCACCCGAATCCTGAAACCGGGTTCGGATGGCGCCGGGGTAAACTTAGACGACCTTGGCACCGGCGAAGCCCAAAACGAAGCCCGGGCTACGTCCGCCGAATTGGGTAGATGCTGGCAGTATGCACAAGCAAAGCGATGATGGCTCAAGACAACAAATGGTTGTATATATAAGCCATGGTCAGGAGTGGCCCGTGGTCATGGTTTCGTTAACAGGAATCCTTGTGGCAGTAACAATCCGTACTAATGTCATGGACTGTTGGGGGGGGGGCCTATGAGAGGGGGGGTTATGTCCTTTATACATACGGGTCGCTTGGGTTAAGGACATGGTTATTCTTGGCGCATGGGAATTTCTTCAGTAACATAGCCCGAGTTCGTGTATGGACTAGTGCCACTGGCTCAAGCCAATGCTAAGCCGGTTGGGCTTATTTTGCATCCCCCTGAGCGTCCTGAACTTGTCCTGGGCTTGTTCTGGGCTTACCCTCGGCTTATCCTTAATAAGGTCGTATTAAGGCCGTGTTCGAGGGTTCTTCACCTCTAAATAAGAAACGCGCAAAAAACGCGCTTCCAAAAGCCCAGACTCACCCTCCTAAGAAGGGCCGAGCGTAGCAAGAAGAAAAGCACAAGCTTGTAATGAGCCGCTTGGAGACTTGGGAAAGACTCTCGACTACCTGACACCGGTCAATGCGGTTCACCCCGCTAAAACGAAAATGTAAGACTAGCCATTTGCCACCAGCAGGCCCAAAGTAAAAACATGCTGTTGTAGCTCTAAGGCCCACTGAGAGATCTGCTGCTTTGAATTGGATAAAGAAACTTATTGCCTTCTAAAATGCTTAAGGTCTTAATCAGGGCCTATCCATGTTTTGTGGATGTGCTTATTAAGCCCCTATTAAAGCCTTAATGAGCCTATGGTAAGACCTTGTTAAAGGATTATTTGAAGTAGCCCCCCCCCCCTGCCCCTCAGAGCCCACGCGGGCATTGCATGATAATGGGGAATACTTACGTGTCCTGGACACACTGCAGCCTCATATCATATTGCCTTGCAACTGGGAGTGCCTCCCGACACATGGTGTAATAATAACTGCCGGCATGTACCCCAGGTGCATCAAGTTGTTTCTCTTGACGTTGGACTACCTCAGTCTTTGCCACCCGACAGCAACAATGAATCTTGATTCCGGCCCATATTTCTGCTAACCTGCAAATGCAAAATGGCTAAAAGAGATCACAGTAATCACTTCCCCCTATTAATAAAGGTCTCCCTAATAATAAATATTTGTTTCGGAAGTCCCAAATCCGGGAATACTACTTTTAGAATAGCCCATACTAAACCAATTCTAAAGTAGATATTTTCCTGCCCGTACTCAAATCCAGCCCCATTAGGGGGACCCCGGGGGCACGTTTCCTTTAATTACTACGGCTGTACTACAAAGTTGCGACTTTCAGGCCAGAGCTCCGGGAGCGCGTTTCCTTTACTACGGCTGTACTACAAAGTTGCGACTTTCGAGCCAGAGCTCCGGGAGCACGTTTCCTTTACTACGGCTGTACTACAAAGTTGCGACTTTCGAGCCTGAGCTCCGGGAGCACGTTTCCTTTACACGGCTGTACTACAAAGTTGCGACTTTCAAGCCAGAGCTCCAGTTTACGGAACGGAACAGGGGGACCACAGTTGCAAACAAGCCTACACAGAACAAGAAGTACCTCCAAAACCTGCCCTCCAGAACCAGGGGACCCCTAATAATAAAAATTGTTTTGCAGGCCGGGTATTTTTTTTTTTTTTGGGGGGGGGGGGGCGTCGTTTATTATTAGGGGGAAGGGATTATATATTATCTTTACACTGCAGCCACCCTGCCACCAACGTAGGCTTCATTGGGAGATTGAGCTTTCAACCATGCAGTTCAAGGTTACATATCCTCGCCCAAAACATGTTGCTGTTTTTCCTGCTTTGGGAAAGTATATGTTTCCCAACAACATGTTGGGTCAACGGGGGGGGTCCAAATAATGTCAAGCCATATCCATCCACCTCAAATCCGTGCGCAACTCAGATTGAAAGTGTGGCGAGCCGTCGAGGACCAGGTTTGCCGCAAAAAAAACAATGGAACAACACGCATGTTTGTGCGATACTAAGAAGCAATGGTCGTGAAAGTGCGGCAACCCCCCCCCCTTCATTGACGCAACATGTTGGCTAAAGATGCAAGCAAATGCCGTTTTTTTTTGGAAACCCTCACTTTTGGATGTTTCATGGGGAAGCCCGCTGTTCCCAAGTTGCAATTAGATCCGAAAGAAAATGAAGCCTTTGAGGCCGCGGGACGGGTTGGGCTGACAGTTTCCACGCCACTGGTTCTCCGGCTCCGGCTCCATCGGGATCTTTGCCTCGCGGAAAAAAAGCCGTCAGCGTGACGCGCCTTCGGATTGCCAAGTGAACCACATCCAAACAAGGGAAGAAGGATAGATCATGGGAAAGAAACAGGAAATGAAAGATACGAAAAGAGAATGAAGGATGACTGATGAAGTAAATAGCTGTCTCATGACCAATCCATTTATGAAACCGCTGAAAAACCCACCAGCCCTTTGCCTACATGAACACACCAACCCAAGGCAGGCCCATAAAGATCTCAAGCAGCCTTAAACTCACCCTAAGCCGACCCGAGCCCTCAATTGCAAATTACAAAATCTGATCTAGTTGGCAGCCCTATGTCCAGGTGAGGCCGGCGATGCTAGGAATGTGGGCAACCAACCAAACACCAGGAGGACTTGCCCAAGTAGAAAAAATAAACCAGACCTACACCGACACCCCTAGAAAAATACAAAAAATATCTGTGATCCATTTGTGTGCTTTGTTGAGGATTCTTGCTTGTTTTGGTGTCCTAAAAGGGACCCCACAAGCAAAACCACAAATTGTGGGCCCCCCCCGGGTTTCCCACCCCTTCCAGCGCCTGTCTGGCGTCGGGGGGTTCCTCCTCAAAGGCGCAGAGCCCACCCAGGCCCTTCTCACCTCCTGCGCGTTCACATGCACGCGGGATTTCTGCGAAACACCGAAATGACGGATGTGATTACATTAATCTACTTCAGCTGTTGCCCCCGCAACCAAACATTGCATGTCTCATTCTGGCCCACATGTTAACCTTAAATTGCGGAGACATTCGCAATAGATTCCAGTCTCAGAAAGCTTGAGTTTTCGGAACATCTTGCCAAACCACAAGAATCCGGCGGAACTTTGCAAATCAATGAATCAAGGAATAAACAACATAACCCTTGGGTTGCTGATCATTCAACCTAGGAACAGCCAAAGGAGCAACCCTTTAAGGTCATGAAATTCAAAGGCGCAAGAATTCGCTTGAGACACACCAAACTGACATGCGTAAACTCAGAGTGGTCTTCTCTACTTGAGGTGCCCTTCGGCACTTTGAACCAGGCCCAAACTGGGAACTCCAAAAACGTCTTGACCTCGGCTACAAAATGGGAAGGCAAGGGTCTTGAGAAGGTAAAAGCAGCCTGGGTAGTAGCCCTTGGGAACCCCCAGTAATTAGCCCGGTTTTTGGTGGGCGACCGTTACGCGGCGGCAGCCGCGGCATGTTGAAGGTACGGTCTGCGTTGGAACCCCTCGCCACAACTGCCACGCTTTTGCAAAAGCGCTGCTCCGGATTTGAGCAACGAATGTCTCAGAACACTGCAAAATGATAGCAAGTAGCCGCGCCTGCCAAATGCTCAGCACACCTGCCCACGTGCAGGTGCAGCCCGTTCGCCATGCCCGCCAAACGATCAGCACACAAACACCCACGCGCGAAGCTCGTTTGCATGTACCCACACCCCTGCCAAATGCTAGGGGCACCCGCCCCATTTGCATGCAATGGCGAACAAACCCACCCGTAGACACGCTTGCCAAATGCTAAGCGCACCCACCCACGAGGTATTGTTTGCAGGCTGTCAAAACCAGCCGTTTCGCGACGGCAAACATGCAATTCCTCAACTTTGAACTTGGGCTGCCAGCATTTTCACACTGTGGAGCACAAAGAGCTGGATGCCGAAAGTGTGAACAAAAAGAAAAACACCCACATGGTTTTTGTCTGGTCAAACTGCAAAGGCACCATTGCAACTGTTTACTCATGGGGCCCGCGCGATAGCCGCCCTTCTTGTGGAATGGAGTGCCTTTCTCCAGAAGAAAGCTTCAAAACGGCTTAAGCAACCCACAGGTCCGGGTCTCGAACTGCAACCCTGTCCTGGGTAGGGGTCCGTGAGCTCGAAGGCCTTCTGCAGGCTGTCCAACTCGTGGCAGCCCAAAGGCTTCCCGGCCACCCAGTCCAGCGCGCATTGCACAGGTCCTAGGCGGTTTTGTGCGAAGGCAACGTGCCCAAAGGCAAACCCCAGACCAAAAAGTAAACTTAACTGCTAGACAGAAGGTAAATCAAAATTGAGCCCCTTGACTTGCAAGGCGCCCGAATCAGTCATGAGCCCCAAACCACCAGAAAGGGAAGCCCAAACCTCTAGATTTCAACATAGAGCCGTGTGACTTTTCACGGGAGAAAAAAGCACGGGCCTGTTTGGTACTTCATCCGACAGGGTCTTTCCCCCGCTCTCTTACAAAACTGTAAGAGGCACCACTGGAAATCTGGCTATGTTTGGTAGGGTCGGGATCAGCCACCTGACAGGGTTAAGCCGGGGCAAGAAACAAAAACACCTCGCAAAACCATGTTCCAGGGCGCTCGCGTAGGGCGCGTTGTTGTCGGGGTGGCCTTTCCGATGCACGTCCATGCTGAGGTAGTACAGCATCACGGTGTCCTCCTGCCGCATGAACCGACTGGGTTTGTCTCAAAAAATCACAGCCAGTTTTGAAGAGCAGCGGGATCGAGCAACTGGATTGCCCTCGCAACACCATCATGGAACATGACCGGCCATACCGGCCGATCACTGAAAGACTACATCTCTTGTTCAATGTTCACCCGCGATTGAAAAGCCCGTCCTACAAACAGAGCGCTCCCTCCACAAGTCCCGCAGGCCCCCAGGCCCCCAGCGGCCACGGGAAGAGAAGGTACGCCCTGCTTTGGTAGCTGGTATTGAAGGGAGAGAAACCCTCCGGCAAAAGGAAAAAGGAAGCAACCCACTGCAGGTCTGGGAGCACCCTCCTTCCAACAACCATGGAAGTAGACAAGACAGGTAGACCTCCAGTTTTTTTCCCGCGCTGTCCTGTTAGTCGCAATTAGCCACATCCTGGGCTACTGCCAAAGAGAGGGAGAAACGAACAGGCCAACGCAATGCGCAACACGCCGATTGGCCCCCACGATGCCTTAGAGAGGCCTTTGGAACGCAGCCGGGGCGAGAATCACGTTGGCCCAATATGAATCGCCCACTTCAGGGTCTCCCGCGTCAAAGAGGAGTTCCATTAATTATCTTTGAACCACGGCAATGGTTTGGGGTAGTGCGTCCGGATTCGTCCGAATCCCTCCTGCCTTGTCCACGGTTGCTGGGCCCAACATTTGCTTCTGATTCCTTGGCGGCGAATTGTGTACCCGGGTCACGCCAAAAAGTATGTTCAGCCCGATCCTACTTCCTAAGTACATAAATCAGATCTCTGTATAAATTAGTGTATATCTTATATATATATATGCATATATATATGCATATATATATATATATATATATATATGTTTATATGCATATGCATGCAAAGTCAAACAAACATAGTATATTGCTCAGTGCAACAACTCAACCACCAACACTTATAACAAAATCAGCGGAGGAAGATTGACAGGGACCTGGATCCCAAGATGAGCACCTCCCAATTCAATTTCTAAAGGCGACCTTGTTCATCTCGGGTTCCCATGAACAAGAAACTACCCCGCACACTGCGGAGAACCTGACGAAGAAAGGACAACGGGTCTCTTGAGATCTTCCTCAGTTTGGACTATTTGAAAGAGTGTTTCTCAACATAGTGATCCCTGCTTGGATAGTTTTAAGGGAAAAGCAACAGCAAAGCAACCACTTGAAGGGGTCCCTAATTTTGAGAAGCACCAATTTGTCTAGGGTGCCCAGTGCAGCCAGGTGAAGTAAGTGGCACAATCCCCCCCGCCCATTTCCCCTCATTTCTCCTTGATTCCGTACCTACTTTCACCTTGTAAGGATCTTGATTTTTCCGCTTGGGTTCCTTGAGATTCCCCGTCTGCTTCCTAGAGAGAGGGCGGACCGAAAGCTGGCATCGTTTGTCGGAAGTGTGCTTCAAACAAATTAGGTATCCCCACTTAGGCATGTAAACCAGCAAAGTCGAAATGGCAAATCTAAGCCGCCCGCAAAGCTCGCGTCCGGGAAAGGAGGGTTCCCCCTGTTGCCTCCTAGATTCCCACCAATACTAAAGTGAAGGGCCAACAAGGTTTGTTTTAAAAAAAAGCATATATCAATTTTTGGGCCTCCGCAAAGCATGTGCCTGCCAAATGTGAGATGGCAGCATGTGACAGCATGTGTCAAAACAGTCCAGCCTGGACATATTGCGCAACATGCACCCGTGGACCCAACGCCCAATGTTCCACAGTTCCAGCGGGAAAACAGGACTGTCCAGCCCATCAGAATCTTGTCCCCCCTCCCTCCCCTCCCAAAGAAGATTGTTATGTGACACGAGATGCAGCTTTGGCCGCCAAAAGCTGGCCCGCTGTTATGCGGAGCTCCGTCTCACAGATACCGTGAGACGCGTATGACGCGTTTTGTTTGCCCAGATTTCTTGGTCAAAGTTCAGGGTGCCCTTTGTTGTGTGGGTTTAAAGGCAGAAAAGGAATACCATGGAAAACCTCCGTTTCAACCGCCCTCCCTACTTTGACACTCACTTTACTGGCAAATTTGGGTACCCCCAGCTCCGTAAGGACGACCCTTCCAATCACCAGCTGGCAAATGTGGACTCATATGGGCGTGTGGGTACCCTGACAGACCCAGATTTCCTGAACCTCAGACCACCCCTGTCAGCTTGAGGCGCTCCAGGATGAGCAGCAAGCGAACGGAGGGCCCGAACAGCTTGCGAAGCTCTGTCATCAGCTCCGGCACTTGCAGCACCTCCTGTAAAGTGAACAAGTGCTCTTTGGGGTCCTTTTTGGGAAGCTGATACAAAGGGCAAGCTGATGAATGCCGTTGCGTGCCACAAAAGGTCTGCATTGCTTGAAGCAATGCCTCGGCACAGGGGGGTTGTCGGTCTCTTAAACAGAAAACAGCACAAATCTGTGATGCTTTGCAGAAATGCAAAAAAATCGTCCCTCACTTAGTGGTCGTTTGATCTCTTGCGAAAAATCAACTTTCTTGGTGGGATATGCCACCTACTCCAAAAGTCTAAGGGCATAGGGGGGGAAATGCAAAGACTAGTAGCAAATAAAGATGGGGTTCAGTTTAGCACAAACCTCCAACAAGTGAACTGTCTGAGCAAAAGTCCTCGATCAACATGGATTGGGGCAGCTCTATTCTGGCAAGTTCTGAAAATTTGGCGTTTGGCCCGATCAAAAGGTGCCAAGGGTGCCATCAAACAGGTATCGAAACAGCCGGCGGTTTTCCAAACACTTGTTGAACAGGGGGCCAACAAGAAACGCCTGCAGATCAATGGAAGCAACCCAAAACGAAAATGTTCAAGGGAACCTTCTTTGAACCCCCCCCCTCGTTTGGAGGGTTTCATGTGAAGTCGCGCGGGAGGGTGCTGAGTGCCAGCAACGCTTGTGGACTCGAAGGAAGAAAAACGCCTGCAACAGCTGTGTGGCTGAACAGGCAAAACAAAGAGCAACTTGCCGTTATCCCTTATCCCTTATCCGGTGAGTTCATCAAGGATCCGCCAAAGATACGTCAAGAAACCACCTGTTTTACAAGGGGGGGGGGGTCCTCCAAATTGCGTCAGCTGGCAAAGAGTTTGCTTGACCCGAATGCATACTTGAAGAGACGCTGATTATCGACTCTCCTCGTTTGAGACCATGGAGCGTACGCACAGCACCGTGTGGGACTCAGCGTTGATTTCCTTGAGCCGCTCGATCCGGCGCTTGTATCTCTCTCGCCTTGGCGCGAGAAGTTTCGGCTGCAAACGGCTTCCGCAAATATAATGACCTAAATGATTGGAATGTGTGGGGTGCTTTAAACCCAAAGTGGACATGATCATAAGAGAATACTGTGTACTTACCCAGCTAGTCCAAAGGCCATGGTAAACGCGAACGTTAGGTTAAAGGACTGGTCTCACTATTAAAGGACGATCTTTACCTTTCAGGCCCTCCCCCAGCAAGCAACATGCTACAGCAGCTGCAGCAGCTGCGGCGCGGGCTAAACCTGATCATCATGATCAAGTGCGCCATTTTTCACTCTCGGGCTGCCGTTTGTCGAGCTCGCAGATTCAGGGTCTGGATATGCTTGATCATAGCCAAAAGCCTCCAGGGAAATTCCAGCAAAACCAAGGGATGTGATTTAGAGTCGAAGGAATTGTCTTGACACTTCGGATATCCAGCCTAAATTGGGCGCATCGCGCCACCCCTCTTTCCAATTGCCTTCGATCTTGAAGCTGGACGACTCCTTAGTTTATTCATCATGGGTCATGCGATCTTAGTTTGCTTTATATCTTGAAAGGAAAATATATATAAGTCTATGCCCCCGGCGTTTCAACCACTTCATCTGGTCCTCATCCAGAAAGGTGTGTTCATGACGAAAATTGTATCCTTAGAGCGCATCCAGCTCTGCTCTAGAAATCTTTTCCAGCACTCCCATGCTGACAGGGCTCTGCGAGATTTTAAATCCCGCAATTGATGCGCCATGGCCTTTCATGCGATGCACTCTTTGCAAAATTACAGCGTCCAAAACTATAGGGTTCAAATCCTGGGCAACTTATTGCAGCCAAAGGCACATGTATCTTAGGCTTTGCAATCCAAAATAAAAGGCGGTGCCTGCCAACACAGATCACGCTCGTCATGCTATCGGCTGCAAACCACTTGGCCTTTGTGACAGTTTTGTCAGTAGACGGTGGCATCGCAAAAATCGCATGCCAGCTTCGTAGATGGAATTGGCCTGCTCTTCACTCCTAGGGAATGCAAACTTCACCCAATCCCCACATTTGACTATATAGTATAATATACCTGGCTGCAGATCAGCATCAGGTACCGTGGGGAACTCTCGGCCAAGCCCATGCAGTTGGAGAGCGCATGCCTCAGCTGAGGGCAAGCAATCCAGGCAGGCACAACCCTTTACCAACTCCAGACCCCTAAGATTATAGTTATGGCCTAGGGGCATTGCCGCAGCGGTGGGCGCCAACATCTCATGTTCAGGCCACCGGCGATTGTTCAAAGCAACTTCCAGTTCCAACCATGTTCCAACCAGCCGACCAGGGGAAGTTCTTTTGTTCACTGCAATGTTCAAGCAGCTACTCAACCAAGAGATCATCACTCGGGAGTTGTAGCCTTTGGCAGTCATATATGCTCCGCTGCAAGCGTCCCACAACTTAGTTCCATCAAACAGTCCAAGCCAAATTGTGTTCAAACAACCGCACTGTCATTTATCCGCGTGTTCAACGAGTGCTGCCAAGAGTCCATCCGCTCTGAAAACATTGTTTGTGAGCACGCCACTGAGTTCAACTTGCACCAGGCTTGTAGGTCCTGGAATGCTGTCACTAGCCTAGGGTGGAGAGGTAACTCGCAATCCCCGAAGAATGAAAGATCAAGTAGAAGCCACCTTGGATCGAGTCAGCGTGAAGGCCCAGCCTAGTCCATTGTACGCAGTGGTGTAATTAAGTTGCCAACAAGGTTCAGCGAGCTGGCGTTACTTGTGCACGCCACCCCCAGATTGATATTGTGGAGACTACAATGGCGGATAAATCGATAATCGAAATGAGGTAGCAATATAAACGGACCTTGCGCGCGCACGAGTGTTTCTTGGTGGCAGCAGGGTGCGCAGTGACACCTTCAAAGTACTACTTGCGAACGAGCAACATGGATGTGTAGTAGAAATGCAGTTGGCCAAGAATTGCAAATGAGAAAACTCGGTTGCTTGCCACATTGGATCATCTCTCAAATCCATAAAGTTGTTCACAGCCGTTGGTGCCCGGCTACATTCGCAACGCCAACACATCTCATGTTGGCGCCAAGTCCGCCTCATCCCGAAGGAAAGAGCGTGCCACTCCCAGTCTCCCCGAAGCTCGGATACCACAAACCTCAAGGTCCCCCCTTGCACATCGATACCGTTGAAGCACCGGGCCAGGGATTGCACGATGACTGCAAACAAAGGGTTGAGCGAGCGGGCTCCCAGGCAACTCCCATTCTCCAATGAGAATAGCAGCCACCTACTCATTCTCGCCAGCCGAGGGCACCAAATCACCACATTCAGGAAGTAGCCAATAATCTTTTTCCCATCCGGTGAATATTTGGCGCCATCTCCATAAAGGCCAAGTGGTATGTGGCTGCCATCATGTGAAAGATCTTGCCAAGGACAGTTATTGTTTTTCGCATGGTCCCAATACCGCTGAACTGATCCGGGGGGCATTTGCAACCCCAAAGTGCCAAACAGCCATGCCAGCAAATGCTCTGGGAGAAAAAGCGGTATCTTTTTCTTGATTGCTACATCATCGGGTCCAGACAGCGAAGCCTTGACCAGTGTCTCCACCAAAATCGGCTCCTGAAGGTTGACACACTGATTAAGGGCCCACTTGCAACTGCACGCAACCCCGGCCCACTGGAGGTCTCATGTAGCGTCTGAAATCTCGGGAGTGGTTATGCCCACTATAACTGCCCAGCCGGGAGATTGAAGCAGGAAGCCCTTCTGGTGTGTCCTTATTGTGATTTCCCGCTCTTCATGCCATAGTCCAATTTTGATTCACATCGAAGTTGCATGGAACACGCCAAGTTGCTTTTAGGCAAGATCGTAATTTGCTCATCTCAGCGGAAACTGCAGCCTTGGCCAGCTCCGCCTCTCCAGTTTTCCAATGTTACCCAACCGATGCGGACTGAGGCCAGAGCACCACCTGCCACCGAATCCAGAATGTCACCGAGCTGATGGTCGCGGGCTTGGCAAGCCGCATCAAAAGGACCTGCGTAGGCGAACGGGCGGTTGATAAAAAAACTCAGTATTAGCACATGGCGTTGCAACTCATGATGGAACCCCATGCATCGTTCAAGCTTTTGTTTTCCCCACGGCCAGCAGAGCAAATCACAGACGTGTGGCCATTCAATTAATGAAACATTCAAGCCGCCAAGGTGGTGTGATAGCACACAGCCCTGTCTAGTGGCAAGAATTGTGGATCCGTTCTAGCTGCGAGCAACCTCAATCAATCATACACATGATACATGCATGTTTGATATCAATACTGTGGTATTTGCAACTTGATACTACCAGGCTTTCTTAGGTTGCTCATATAGGGGGTCCCTTCTGATTCTAGGAGGTGCTCTTGCGCTTTTTGCCGGTCACTGGTTCCAGCTTTTTGTCGAAATCGCTCAGTTCCTCTTTCGCCCTTTCCACAAGCTGTTCAATGGCCGAGTCCTCCCCAAAGTGAGATTAATGTTGAATGAAACGCATGGATATGGGGCTGCAAAGGTCCTCGCCATTTTGGTCCAGCACATCTTGAAGCTTTCCACGGCTTTCGGTCAGGGTCTTGGTGATCTGGGAAATATCCTTGTCGATGGCCTGCTTGATATTGGTCGACCTGATGGTGAGGCTCAGTTTTTTGGAATCCACCAGTCTATTATGCAACCAAAGTGCCAGTCACACGCCTTGCTTTTGTGCAGGTTGGCCGTTTGGATCTTCTTGGTGATGGTCTCTACGGCCTGTAAGTTGGCAAATAGAAACGGGTGGTTTTGTCATGGGTGAAAGGCCTTCTTGGCAGATTTGATCAGCTCCTTTCGTTTGTCCTCCCCTTTGGGTTGGTTATCATCATTTGCGTCATCCTTTGTGCGAGATCCGGAGTTGCGCTTTTTGTTCCTCGAGCTCCCTCCACGCTTTGAGCCCTTTCTCTTGGCTTTGCTTCCCTTCTTCGCCTATCATCACACGCTCCCCCACTGAATTAGCTAAACCCGCCGCAAGCCCCGCGCTGAACTACCAGCAATCGCAAGCCGCCCCCTACCGAACTACAAGCAATCGCACGCCCCGCTCCTAATTAAGTACCAGCAATCGCAAGCCCCGCTCCCTACCGAACTTCCAGCAATCGCAAGCCCAATAGCAATCGCAAGCCCCGTCCCTACAGAACTACAAATCGCAAGCCCCGCTCCCTACCGAACTTCCAGCAATCGCAAGCCCCGCGCCCTACTGAATAGCAATCGCAAACCCCGCTCCTACCTACGAGCAACTGTATTCTTTGCCCAGCAATCGCAAGCCCCGCTACCAACCGAACTACACCAGCATTCGCAAGCCCCGCTCCCTACCGAACTACCAGCAATCGCAAGCCCCGCTCACATGACCACCAGCAATCGCAAGCAATCCACCGAACTGGCCTTGGGGTTGCCGGCCTTCTTAGGTGTAGGGTCTTCGGATGCGTCATCATCACTGCTGCTGGTTGCATCATTGCCGTGGCCGTGATCGCGGGCTTTGAACAAATCGGCTATTGTGTGTTCTGATTCGGCAACCTCTGAATCTTCAACCAATACAAGGTATTGCAGCAAGCGATCAGTCTCTGGGTGGGAACGAATCTGGGTGGATCTGGTTTCCGGGTCGGCTTCCTTGCGGCAGATTATGGAGTCTACAACATGTTTGTCTTTGAAGATCTCCATCATTTGGGCGTAGGTGATCCAGCGGCGAACCCCTTGCTTTAAGTCTTTGCTGGAGCTAGTGATCTGCTGGTAAACGACGCTACGGCTCCAGTTGCCACCGCAGTTCACAAAGTCCTCGTAGAGCACTGCCTGGCGGTCCTTGCCTAGCAGGAAAAAACAGCTTTCAAAAGCATACGGATGTGATAAGACTGGTCCACAAAGGCCCTGGCAATACTTGAACCGCTTGTTGATGTCTTTGATTTCTTGTGGGCATGACCGACCTCAAAATTCAGGGTTTGTTCCCATACCAACAAAGGTCAAGTGACCACAAGGGGCCATTTTAA